GAAATCCTAACATGGTCCTGGTGCCTGGGGTCACTTGGCCAGCGGATGGCACCAAGGTCACTGTGTTGATCAACTACAGGCTCAAATCCTGTACAAAAAGCCCAGCAGATTCCAAGATATGCCTGGTTGGGTTCATTTAATTTTTAGCTTATATTTTGAATTACATTTTCTTTGTGTGTGGGGGATGGGTGTTCACATTGTCACAACCCAGGTGTGAATGTCAGAGCACAACTTGGGGAAACTGGTGCTCTCCTGCCCCAGTGTGCGTCCCAGAGACAGACTCAGAGCAGCAGACTTGTCGAGGAAGTGGCCCTTTGGCGATTGTTTTGAGACTGTGGCTCCTGCCCACATCCACCTCCCAAGAGCAGTGAGTCAGGCATTGCTTTCCTTAGCTGACCAGTGGGATTCCTGAAACACCTTATTTATCTAAGGGAAGGGCTTGTAAGCCATGGCCTGTGTGTGCCGGTCAGAGGACAACTTGCAGGACTCAGTTTTCTCCTTCCACCATGTGGGTCACCCCACCAAACTAACCCCCACCCCCCACCCCAGGACAGTTTTATTGGCTTATAAGGGGTGCCTTTTTGTTTTGTTTTTGTTTTTTTTGAGACAGGGTTTCTCTGTGTAAGAGCTCTGGCTGTCCTGGAACTTGCTTTGTAGACCAGGCTGGCCTCGAACTCACAGAGAGCCCTCTGCCTCTGCCTCCTGAGTGCTGGGATTAAAGGTGTGTGTCACCACTGCCCGGTAAGGGGTGCTTTTGTATTAATCTCTTTGTGAAAGAAAAAAAATAGAATTTATCCCTCTCCTGCCTAGAACACAGTCACAAATTTAAACCACTAATAGAGAGGATCTCCAGGTTCCAGAGCCTTCAAGACTGTGCTGGGGGAGTGGGAGGAGAGGAGGGAGGGGAAACTGGGATTGGAATGTAAAAACTAAATAATAAAAAAAAGACTATGCTCGCCTCCAAGCACATACAGACCTGTGCCTGGTGCCAGGCAACAAACAATAGCTCGGACAAACGGGGCAGAGCCTTAAGACATCCTGGACTTGGCAGGGAGCGCCTACAGGTCTGGCACCCGTGGAGGTGCCAAAGCTGCTGGGTCAGGCCTGGGGTTGGCCTGGAGACCTCTAAAATTTAACCAAGGCCTATGCCTGTTGATAGTGGCACAACTTATGCCCACACACTGGTTTAGAACACCAGGTGTGTATGGTAGGAGAAAACCAACCCCCCCTGGTAGTTCTGTGATCTCCATAGACATGCTGTGACAAGTGCACACCCAACACACAGTACATGCAGCATGCACACACACACACACACACACACACACACACACACTAAAATGTGAGGAGAGGAAAAAGAAATATCAGGTTATGTCTTCATGGGAGCATTGTGGCCATAGTCACCTTCTCCACCCCACTCACCTTGCTCAGACCACTTGGGCAAGGGTTCCGGAATCTGTGTCCACCTCTTGACCACCCATTACAGCAATGGGAAGGGGAGGACCAGGAAGTCAAAGGGCTTTCCCAAGGGCCCACAGGAGCTGAGATGGGTCTTTCTTCACAATTTGCCAGCCCTTATGAAATCTTTGGGTAGACCTGTCACTGCGTGCTATGTGTTGAATACATGGATATACAGAATTTTGGAGTGGGACCATCTAACAAATAAAGTTTGCTTGAAGATCAGAATGCAAGGCTAGCCACACTAGTTAGTCACTGAGACCAGGTAGTGGTGGCACACACCATTAATCCCAGGACTTGAGAGACAGAGGCAGAGGGATCTCTGTTAGTTCAAGGCCACCTTGAGCTACATGAAATTGATCCAATCTAAAAGAGAAACAGAGCTCACACAAAGGTGACCTCAGCCCTTGGGGTCCCATGCCTTTAATTCCAGCACTAGAGAGGAATATAAAGCAGGAGGAGACAGGAGCTCGGTGCAGTCTGAGGTTTGGTGGAGACAGATGCAGTCTGGGGGTGCAGTCTGAGGACAGGATCGCCCTTTCGGTCTGAGCATTGGTAGAGGTAAGAACTCTTTAGTGACGGGCCACTTTGCTTCTCTGATCTTCAGTTTTAACCCCAGTATCTGACTCCAACTTTTTGTTATTAAGACCAACTAGAATTGGTGCTATACCCTGAAGCTGATCTGAAGTTCATAGGTGGGTGAGTTTTACCCAGGTGGTTGGCTTTCCTCTGGAGGTGGGGATGCACTCCCTGTAAGTGCCATAACCACCAAGGCTCTCTTCAGTCCTATAGGCCTTATGTTCTTTGTCAATTTTGAGGACCGTATGAGTGTCTCAAACTTGTAGAGAGCCATGTCTTATGAATCCGAGGAGTCTAAAGCACTGACTCTTTCATTCAGTGCTGGGATTAGTGCTCTGCCTACCAGTGAGCTGCATCCCTGCCACCCCAAGCTTTGATTTTACTGAATTCTTTATGCACTGATGGCAATATTATACTTTTAATTAATTTTTAAAAAGATACTTTTTACGTGTATGCCTGAGTACATATAAATGCCCCTGGAAGACAGAATAGGGCGTCGGGTGTGTTGCGAGCTGTCACGTGGGTGCTGGGAGTGAACCTGGGTCCTCTTCAAGAGCAGCAAATGCTCTCAACCACTGAGCCATCTCACCAGCCCCGTCATTAAATTTTTTATACAACATACTCTGCTCACATTTCCCCTGCTCCCAAATACTCCCAGATCCTCCTCACCTCCCTACCCACTCAACTTTATGTCCCCCCTCTTAAAAAAAAAAAAAAACAACAAAAACATGATCCCTTGTTAGCCCTGTACTATGGATGTCCTCCTGCTCTGTCTCCCAAGTGCTGGGATAACAGGTGTATGCCACCACTCCAAGCATGAAATATAAAACATGTTAGTGCTAAGACAATTATGGACAGTTCACATAACTGTATTTTAAAACTCTTTGACAGCTCAGCTCATGAGCTAGAAGCAGGAAAACCACCCAAGTCCAGAAATTAAAGGCCTGCTTGGGCCACACAGTGAGACTCTGTATCTTAAAATAAGATATAAATAAATAAGAGAAAGAAAAGGGAAGGTTGGGCAGTTGTTCACAGATATGTACTAAGCCTGCTTCCCTCCCCCCTTTTTCTTCTTTTTGAGACAGGGCCTTTCCTGTATAAAAGCCCCAATGTCCTAGAACTCTCTTTGTAGACCAGGCCTGGAACTCACAAGAGATCCACCTGCCTCTGCCTCCCGAGTACTGGGATTAAAGATGTGCGCCATCACTGCCAGTTGCTCCCCTTTTCTTAATGTCTTCTTTAAACTATTGTTTTATGTGTGTTTGCCTACATGCATGTCTGTACCACATGCATTCCTGTAGGTGGAAGGCTTAGATCCTGTGTGTAACTCCAGGGAACCTGTTGCCCTCTTCTGACCTCAGGCTCAGGAAGGCATGTGGTACAACTTCAACTGTGAGAAATTAATTGGTTAATTAATTAAAGAAACTTTTTTTTCAAGACAGGGTTTCTCTGTGGCTTTGGAGGCTGTCCTGGAACTAGCTCCTATAGACCAGGCTGGTCTCCAACTCACAGAGATCTGCCTGCCTCTGCCTCCTGAGTGCTGGGGCTAAAGGCATGTACTACCACCTCCTGGCTTTAAAGAAACATTTTAAGGATTTGGAAGAGCATTTCACTAAAGAAGATCTACAGTTGGAGAGTGGTGGTACACGCCTTTAACCTCAGTACGCAGGAGGCGAAAAAAGCCAGATCTCAGTGATTTTAAGGCCATCCCGTCTACAGAGTTAGTTCCAGGACAGCCCAGGCTAAACAGGAAAACTCTGTGTGTTTGTTTGAAAGAAAATGGCCCTCAAAGAGGGGGTAGGTACTAATGGGAGGTGTGGCTTTGTTGAAGTTTGTCACTGTGGGGATGGGCTTTGAGGTCTCCTATATTGAAGCTATACCCACTACCGCCTGACTTCATTTTATTTTTAAAGACAGGGTCTTAGTGTATAGCCCTGGCCAGGCTGAAACCATTGGAAACCAATCAGGCCTTGAACTCACAGAGATCTACTGGCTCTGTCTTCCAAGTACTAGGATTAAAGACGTGTGCCACCACGTCCAGTCCATAAACAATTTTAAAGGCCAAGAAGTAATGACATTGAGAGGTTTACAGCTGACATATTTTTAAAATGTGTATGACACTGTGGGTATCCCCCTGAGTGCAGCCTCAACACGGTTGCCTCTTTGTGAACCCCGATGAAGAACTCAACATGGACTCCATGGGTTCTGGGCAGCTATTTTGGGATCAAAGCAGAAGAGTATGGTGATATTTTGTTTATGACCTAACAAATAAAGCCTTCCTGAAAATCAAGATGAGAGCTAAACCGTTAGTTAGCCACACATTTAAGTCACTAGTTAGCCATAGAGGACATGCAGTGGTGGCCACAGCTTTAGTCTCCCAGGAGACAGAGGCAGGTGTCTCTGTGAGTTCAAGACCACCCTGGGCTACATGAGAGTGAATCAGTCTAAAAGAGAAACAGGGCTCACACCTTTGATCCCAGCACTTGGGATGACACACCTTAATCCCAGCACTAGAAAGGAATATAAGGCAGGAGCTCAGTGTGTCTCAGTGCAGTGTGAGGTTTGGTGGAGAGCATACAGTCTGAAGTCACACTGGGGACAGAATCCCCCCTCTTTTGGTCTTAGCCTTGGTAGAGGTAAGAACTCTAGTGGCTGACTGCTTTGCTTTTCTGATCTTCAGCTTGAACCCCAATACCTGTCTCTGGGTTTCTATCCATCCTGCTACAGAAGAGCAGGGAGAGAGAGAAGAGGTGTGAATGGGCAGGTCTGGAGGGGGCCAGCAGAGACACTCAGGCCCAGAGTGAACAGGCATGCCCAGTCAGCAAACAAGTCTCTTGTTTCTAGCGTAAGACTCACTTCCAGGTCCTGGTCTATTGCCCAAACCTCCTTGCCTCTCTTGGCTAACAGTGTTTCATAACATTGGCCAATACTTGATTTCTAGCCAAGTAAAGAAGGGGCCCCCATTCTGGAGCCATCAGCCATTTATGACACCAGCGGTCCTTGGGCAAGGCAGCCTAAGGATCACCTAAATAAAAGGAGTCAAGAGAGGTAATGTGTCAGACACAATGGCAAGGTTGTGGAAGGCATTTGTGTTGGTGGTGGCTTTAGTTGTGGTAGCCTGTGAAGCCCATCGCCCACCAAGATATGAGGATATTGTTGACCGGGCCATAGAGGCATACAACAATGGGCGTCCAGGAAAGTCCCTCTTTCGCCTGGTAGATGCCCCCCAGCCATCTGGTCAGGTGAGTGTCTGCCACCCCAGCCTGGGACACAGGCAGTGTAGAAGGTTTCTCTTACTTGGGGACTGGACATGTAGTTCAGTTTGTAGGGTGTTTGTCTTGCATGCATAGAACCCTGGACTTGAACCCCAGCACTCCGCATGTGGAGGCAGGAGGATCAGAGGTTTATAATTAGTCTCAGCTATGTAATGACTTCTAGGCCAGCCATTTCTGCTACTCACAGTTAGGATAAGTCTGTACTGTCAGCCTGTCTCCTTGCATGAGACTTGATGGAAAGGAACTTTGATTCCTGTTTTATACAGGACGATGCTGAAGGAAAATCAAAAAGTGTCATACAGCCATTTGCAGTAAAGACTATAACCTCTCCCTTTTCAACCAAAATGTAATGGAGTCTGCCTGATCTTGAACTCCTGATCCTCCTGACTCCACCTCCCAAGTGTTGAGACTACAGGTGTGTGCACCATGCCCAACTGTACCCTTACTTCATCTATGTAATGCTGGGTGGCCTGCAACTTGCTATGTAGACCAGGCTGGCCTTGAACTCACAGAGACCTGCCTGCCTCTGCCTCCTGAGTGCTGGGATTCAGGCATGTGCCACCACACCCCCTGACTGTACCCTTCAGGTCTCTGTTATGGCCGTTTAATAGGCCCCAGACTGTGGCAGACAGTGTAGACATGGACTAGGCTGACAAGGCAGTATCACCTAACCCCTCTGTGCTCTGCTCCGGAATCTGTAGAAGAGAGATGGTCATGAGTTCTCTGTTCCTTCCTTAGTTCTCCGCTATCAGTATCTCATTGGAGTTCAGGATTAAAGAGACAGAGTGCATCTCCAATCCGGAAAGGCAGCCTAGAAACTGCAACTTCCTGGAGGATGGGGTGAGTCTCCTTCTCCCAGCTCCCAGACTGCCTTGTGGAGGAACACAAGTTCTCTGCTTCCTTGGCTCCATCCATATCACTCGGCCACTTCACCAGCAGCAATTTTAACTTGAAGTCTTTTTCTAAACCACATGTGTGGCTTCTGAATTGCCTTAGTGCATACAGAGACCCTGGAACTGACACGGCGAACAGAGCTGACTCTACAGGCATGCACTCTCACACTCCCAAATTATACTTAGGAAAAACAAAACCAGACTTTTAAATACCTTTTCTTACTATAAAGTATTTCAATTACTACTAAAACAGCAACGTGTAGCTCAGTGGTAGTCTTGCTTCGCAAGTGCAAGGCCCTGGGTTTGATTCCCAATGCCACACAAAACGGTGTGGGAGGAGGGTTACATGCTAAAACTGCTAGACATAAAAAAGAGAAAATGACAAAGGGTGGCTGTAATCCACCTAGAGATGTTGCTTTTAGAAACAGAACCAGAAAGTAACATATTTCAAATGTTCTTTTACCATTCACACTTAAAGCAATGGTTCCATTTACTGGCTCACAACCTCATTTCCCAGGGACAGGCATCAGCTGTTATGTGTCTTCACCCAGGACCTTCAACAAACATGGTTTTCTCTGGACATGAGAAGTTCTATTGACTGTATGGATGCCCTGTTGTTTACATTAGCGGGTGTGCAATCCTGTTCGCTGGCTCTGGTTTGCATCTCTGGTTTGAGGACAGTGAGGACCCCTCTCCAGAAATGTGACAAGATGCCTCTAGCTTCTGTCCCCCCCTTCCCCCTTACAGGAGGAGCGAGACTGCACAGGTCAATTCCTCAGAAGGAGGCGTTCAACCTCTTTGACCTTGAGCTGTGACAGGGATTGCAGTAGAGAGGTGAGCAGCTTGCTGCCCCAGAGGCTAACCCTGAGGTTACCCCCTCCTGCTGCGCTCTCTCTTGGGCTCTGGGAGAGGCACTGAGTTGACTGTGTAAGCCCCCACACACAGGCTCTTATCTGGGAACAACCACCCAAGCCCTTTGCAGCAAGTGTGTGGAAAGGTGTGGCATGTGCTGTGTCCGCATGGCTTAGACCTTCCCACTGTTAGCAGAGGAGGGGCCTGGAAGAGTTCTAGAGGGGACTGGTGCTCTGCAACATCAATTCCCTGGCCTCATCAAGACAGCCAGTGGGAGCCCAGCTCCTCTTAATCCAGATCTGCCCAGGCCTCTGTGTCCCATCACGCCCGACCTTGTAGCTGGTGCCTCTGCCGCCTCACCCTGTCCTTTAGGGGAAGAGCACAGGTATGCTGGACACCATCCACTGTGATGGTGGTGACTGTGTGGCATCTCTCCCACAGGGTGCCCCGGTGAAGGAGTTTTCTGATTACACTGTGCAGGATGTCTCTGAGAAGGACCAGGTCAAAGATTTTCCCCCTGGAGATCAGAAACATTTATGAAAATGCCAAGTTTGACATCATCAACAACATCCTTCGTAATTTCTAGAGCTGGAGAAGGGAGGGGAGGCTCTGCTTGCCTCTATGCCCTCCTCTTCTCCACTCCCAGCCTCCCTATGCTGTCTCCAGGACCCTGCTGTCTGCACTTCACAGGAGGGCTCCTCTCTAGATTAACTCCAAGTCCCAAAGCATTCATATCTTTACACACTTGCTCCCTTCTCTGCCCTACCCTATATCTGAAACCATTTACTCTTCAACGCCCAAGCTCAAAGTCCCCTCCAGCAGGAAGCCTTCCCACATCTGTTTGCTCAAAATCCTCACACCCCATTGGTACTACCTGCTGTGTCTCCAGCAGACCACGCTGCATCTGTTCACAGCTGGGCTTCCTGGGCCAGTTGCAGGTAGCTGTAGAATGGATTTTTCAATGATGGGTGTTCCTGGAGTCCTGGAAGAACAGTTCCTTTTGTCCAGATCCTGAGTACCCCTGCTCCTTGTCCAGTCCCTGTGCCCTTCTACACCAAATGTCCCCTTACACATCCAGACTGGGATGTGTGTAGGGGGTGGGGAGGTTGTCAGATCAAGACCTGTAAGAGAGACTCGATAAAATGCTTCTGAGATTAATGAGGGTGTGGCTGAATGAACGAAGTGGTAGGAGCTGGAATGGCTGAACTTGGGGTGTGGAGATGAATGGGCCAGGCCCTGGGTGGGGGTTGAGGAAATCTAGACTCCATGAGGTCAAAGAAGGGGCCACATAGAGGAAGTGAGGGGCCAGCTAGATGGCTTAATGGGTGGGGTGCTTGCCACCAAACTAGACAACCTGAGCTGGATCCCAGGACCTACACAATGGAAATAGAAAACAACTATAGGTTGTTCTCTGACCTCTACACATGTGTTATGGCATGGATGTAAAATGCACACATGCATGCATGCCTTCTTGCACCCATAAAAACAAACACACAAAGTAAATGTAAACTTTTTTCCGATTTTTAAAAGAGAAGAACTGAATATAGGGCCTGAGGAGCCCAGGAAAGCAGAGTAGTGTGTCCCCACTCTCTGACTGTTATTCGTTCCTTAGCACAAAGTTCCCGTCAGAACACTAAACTTTTGCTTGCACACCAGACTACCTCCTGAGCAGCCATGGTGTGGAAAAGGTCACCAGTCACCATTATCTAAAGGTTACTGTTTGTGTGTATGTGTCTGTGTATAGCCCAGACTGACCTCAGACTCAAGCAATCTTCCTACTTTAGCCTCCCCAGTGTTTGGATTACAGATATGAACAACCACACCTATTTATTTATTCTGTGTCAATTTCATCTTGATCACAGGTACTCCTACTCCCCTTCTATTCCCCCCAACTCCTCCTTCCACTTCCCCAAAGCACCCCCAGCGTGTCCCCATCCCCGCTTCATGTCCTCTCTTCTGTGTGTCAGTAACTCACTGAGTCCAGTTATTGCTGCCTGCTGGAACGCTGACTGACCTTGTAGACCTGATCTTGTGCAGGAAACCACAGCTGCTGTTAGTTTAAGGGTGACGTGGACATGTCATGTCCCTGTCCTGCTGCTCTTACATTCTTTCCACTGCTCTTCAGTGATGTTCCCTGTCTTAGCTAGGGTTTCTAGAGCCGTGAAGAGACACCATGGTCATGGCAACTTTTATAAGGGAAAACATTTAACTGGGGTTTGCTTACAGTTTCAGAGGTTTAGTCCATTATTATCAAGGTAGCATGCAGTCAGACATGTTGCTGGAGAGGGAGCTGAGAGTACTACATTTTGATCCACAGGCAACAGGAAGTGAACTGTCTCACTGGGTGTGGCTTGAGCATATATGAACCCTCAAAGCCCACCTCCACAGTAACACACTTCATCCAACAAAGCCATACCTACTCCAACAAGACCACACCTCCTACTAGTGTCACTCCCTATGGGTCAAGCATACAACACATGAGTCTAACGGGGCCATACCTATTCAAGCCACCACATTCCACTCCCTGGCTCCCACAGGTTTATAGTCATACTATAAAGAAAAATGAATTTAGTCCAATTTTGAAAGTCCCCATAGTCTATCACAGTCTCAGCAATGTTTGAAACTCCAAAGTTCAAAGACTCTTCTGAGATTCATTCAATCTCTTAACTGTAATTGCCTATAATATCAAAATTAAGATAAAAATAAAACAGATCACAGTTGGGTGTTGCACTCCTTTAATCTCAGCACTCAGGAGGCAGAGGCAAGCAGATCTCTGTGAGTTCGTGGCCAGCCTGGTCTACAGAGCCAGTTCTAGGACAGTCTACAAAACACCAAATAATAATAATAATAATAATAATAATAATAATAATAACAATCCATGTCTTTTGTGGGGATCATTATCCAGGCATATATGTCCAAACTACTTCGATTTTTAAAAAAATTATAACTTTAGCTTGCAAAGTATTGAGTTTCCATGGGGATTTTTCATACATTTTTCATATTGTTTAACCCATCCCTACCACCTTCTTGCCTCTTAACACATACTGCAATGCCTGTTTAAACATTTTAGCTCATTATTTCCAGCCCACACCACACTTTTATATAATGTGCTATACATGCTCTTTTCATTTTTAAAAAATATTTACTTGGTTTTGATGACAAATAAGCCTCAAGGAAATTGGTTTCTGTCAGGCTGTCATCTAAATCCTGTCATGATTATACAGCGAGTGCTCTAACTGCTCAGCCATCTCCTCAGCCCATGAACCCTTAAAAATTGTTATTTATTTATTTATTTTGGGTTTTTTGGGACAGGGTTTCTCTGTGGCTTTGGAGGCTGTCCTGAAACTATCTCTTGTAGACCAGGCTGGCCTCAACTCAGAGACCCACCTGGTTCTGCCTCCCAAGTGCTGGGATTAAAGGCGTGTGCCACCATGCCTGGCCTCACACATAAATCTTTACGCTTTTTTTCCTATATGCCAAAGTTACAGACTCTCTTGCTCGGCATTACAAAAGGCGCTGTTGGATTCTGGCAGTTGACATGGCAGCTGGCTATATCCCACTGGGAAACAAAATCTATAGTTTTGTGGCAGCTGAGGAAAGGGGAAAAAAATTGAGGTGATGGCAGTCTGTACAGGAGCAAATATGCAACAGCAACAAGTAAATACAGTCTCTGCCTATCTTCCATCAGTATTCATTGTATGAAATAAAAGGCACTGGCCTCTTGTATTAGCTACTTTTATATTGCTATGATAAAACATTATGACCAAAGCAACTTATAGAAGGAAAGGATTTATTTGGGGCTTACGGTTCCAGAAGGATAAAGAGCCTGTGGTGCCAGGGAATGGAGGCAGCGGGTGGCAGCAGGAACAGCTGAGGAGTTCACATCTTTTTTTTTTTTTTTTTTGGTTTTTTACGAGACAGGGTTTCTCTGTATTGTTTTGGAGGCTGTCGGTCCAGCCTGGCCTGGAACTCACAGAGATCCGCCTGCCTCTGCCTCCCGAGTGCTGGGATTAAAGGCGTGTGCCACCACCGCCCAGTCACATCTTTTTTTCTCCCTCGAGACAGGGTTTGTCCAGCAATGCCACGCTGCCTAACCTCTCCAAACAGCCACGAACTGGGGACCTCGGATTCAAAAGCCTGACATTTATAGGGGACATCTCTCAAGGACTGCTTTTGCTATAGGTTCATTTGGCTTTTCCCTTGTATTCATGGAAATATTTGTAATTTGTCCAATAGTCTTTTAAACAAAATCAAAATTTACTTCTAATATTTAAAAATAAGCCAGGAGAGGGGCTGACTCAACTGGTTAAGTGCTTTCTGTGCAAACTTGAGGCCCTGGATTTGACCCCCAGCACCGAGGGAAAAACAAAACTGGGTGTGGCAGTGCACAAGCTGCAACACCAATACTTGGGGCCGGAGTCTGGCGGGTTCCTAGGGCCTGCTGGCCAGCCAGTCAAGTGGAATAGGTGAGCCGCAAGCTCAGTAAGACACCCTGCCTCAAAGCCTAAGGTGGAAAGCAACCGAGATGCCCCATGCTGCTGTGGAATAACCCTGTCCACTGGGAAGACGTGTTGCTCATTGTTAATAAAAAGCGGATTGGCCGATGGCTAGGCAGGATTTTCGGGGCAGAGAGAATGCTGGGGAGAAGAAGGGTGGGGATGCCATGAGACGTAGAGCAAGCAGGATGAGAAGTATGTACATGAGATAAACAAGCCTTGGGACAGCACATAGATTATTAAAAATGGGTTAAGTTATAAGAGCTAGCTAAAAAATGAGCCTAAGCTATCAGCCAAGCATTTATAATTAATGCTAAGTCTCCATGTGGTTATTTGGGGAGTGGCTGGTGGGACAGAACTGACCAGTGTTCTAGACAGAAAAGTCCACCTACAAATAAATGGGGGTCTAATGTGGCACACCTACATCCACACAAGACCTGAGAAAGATTATAAAGGTTCTAAACACACACAAAAAAAGGAGCCAATATGGCTTCCCAGTCCTGTGTCTCTCTTGCTGGTTGCGGTACAGAGACATGTCTCCCAGAAGCTTCCCGAGGGACGCAGCAAGCTGCCAACTGCCATGCGTTATCACCAGACACTAAGCTGAGCAGTGCTGGCAGCTGACATAGCAGTTTAAGATTTGTTTCATGTGATCAGAGAAAACAGATGCTCAATAAAGACAGATCCACCTACACAATGCTAGCTCTCAGACTCTAGACACATACACAGGAATGGACAGACAAACGGACACACACACACACACACAATCAGTACAAGGCAAGAGTATTGGGAGTGTTCTTTTTATTTCTCTTTGGTTTTTTTTTTAACACAAAAGACATGCTTTCTATAAATAGTTTCTTGTGAAACAACCGTGGGTGAGGAGGGACAGAATTCCTACTTATTTCCATCTTTATGTTCCATCAAGAGGCCGGCCTTCAGCTCTCTTTTGCTGTGATCTCTGGTGAAACCCAGAAGAACAATGGGAAATGAGAAGGACAGTGGGCAGACCCCGTGGTGTTCACTGTCCAGGTGTGTGTGACCTATCTCTGTTACATTCTTTCCACAATGTCCTTTGATGATATCTGTTTTCCCATGATCCTACAGTTCCAGCACTAAAGAGTCAGACCAGCCACTGCCCTCAGACCAGGGAGTATGAAAGCACTCCTGTTTGTTCAAGTGTGCTCAGAGCCCAGACTAAACACTGACTTGATATCTCTTGGAAACACTGTCTCTATGTGCACAGTGTAAGCTCTCCACTGGGAGGCGGGATGGACTCAGGAAGGCTAATCCAACAGCAGCAGACTGGGGGAAGATGATGTATCAGCTCCAGTGATGCTGTCTGCTAGCATCATATGGACCCAGGAGACCTACCTGGGAGCTCACTGACTGGTTCTCAGCACCTTCACAGTCAAGGCAGGGCAGTACATTCACAGAAGGAAGGACTTAATATGAGCACGGACACACCCTTCCTATAGGACTATCAGAAAACTTAGACCCATAGCCTCCCAGAGTCTATTTCAGCAGACAAACTGAGGGGCAGGAAGAAATGCTGGCATTCCACTGGGAGCCTAGTTAAAATGTATCAGTTATCAGATTGTTCTGTCTTTTAAAATAAAAACATTATTTTCAAGTGCTTATAGCAGAGGCCCAGCTCTTAAGTTGCAGCGAACGAAAGTCCTTCCTCCTGAACCCATGGCAATTGCACACACGGTAAACCTGACTGTCTGGGGTAAAGGATGCCCCAGGCTTCACATTGTGCCTTTCTGAACTGGCTTCTGGGCTGCTCCAGGCAGGCAGCAATGAGCAAGAAAGCAATCAGGTGGAGAGCGGGACCCTTAGACCCAGTTTGGGGCTAAGAGTAATTGTACCCTTGTGGTCTCTATGGAAGAACTTTAGAAAACCAGATTTTGGCGGCAGCAGTTGAAGGTCAGCCCGTGCCCAGTGCACTGCAAACAGGAGAGTCTCCTCTCTGGGGCCTCTTGTGCTATGGGAAGGTCCCATCCAGAGGAGGAAGGAGCATGGGGTCTCTTCATGAGGTCATTTGCCAAGATTAGAGGAAGAAATAGAAAATATCTTCTTTGCAGCAGCACAAGACTTTGTTTTGGTCTTTAGGTCTTTGTATCATGAAGCCAGCATTGCTTGAATGGAAAGGCCCACCTTGCTGGTTAGTCTGCCAAGGGCTGGAAGGAAGGTGGACGCCCTGGGGTTGGCGAGTGATGAAAAAGCAGGGGAATGGCAGGGCAGACAAGTCACCTGAGCACTCTAGTCCATGGCTGAGAAGCATGCCTCTGGTTAGGTCCTAGAGGTACAGATGGCCAATGCACCCCAGAAACGTCATGATGAGAAGTTATTCAAGGACAGTAGGTGGGTAAGTGCGAATCTGGCCAGATGTGCTATTTCCTGCTGGCCAAAGGGGAAGATGTGGGCGTGGGATCTGAGGGGGCGCTGGGTGGCAGTGGGAGGCTCATGGGAGCCCCTGTAGCGATGAGTGGCAGTAATTCAGCCAGCTCCCTAAGCCTGGGATTTAACAATTCCTCTGATGGTGGATGAGGAGACTAACCCCATGAGCACCTTGCTACAGGTCCAGTCAAGAATGCCCCTGGGGCTCAGAGCGAACCCCAACTGCTTTAGGAGGGCTGGGGACCCTGGGATCCAAATGTGGGACACCACTGTTGACATGTTCAATGGTTTTCCATTTAAATGTGCATTTGCTTTTAATATCTTTTGTTTTCTTCCTGTGAAAAATGTTCTCTTAAAAACGTCTTTTCCTTCCAGTTTCTCTCAAGTATTTTCTTGTTTCCATTTCCTCCACTTTCTTTCAAGCATCTCTATTCCCCTCTGGTTCTCTAGGACAAGCAGAGGAAGATGTCACTGAAGTCCTGAATCATCAGGTATGGGGAAGACTTTTGCCTCCCTGTTTGCTGCAAACAGTGACGAAATCCTCTGTGCCCCACGATGGAAGGAAGGAAGAGCCCATGTGCACACAGCACGCTGCTGTAGCTGCCCCATCACGGGCATGCTTCCCATGGCAAACTGGCCACAACATGGCCGCAGACAAGCAGGTAAGGAGGAGCGTTGGCTGGAAGGCCAGCTGCACAGGGCGCTCACAGCACTCTGGCAAGCGGGAGCTGGCCAGGCTGTAGCAGGTGCACGCTGGGCTTGGATGGAGCCTGTGCACACGTGGACCAGCAAAGCACTTCCATGGTACTGGCTGTGGGGCCCAGAGGGGCTTCTGTCCTGTGATGTGCACCTTGGTAACCTACGGTCACAAGGGCAGCACAGTGACGGAGGACTTAAGCACCTGGAAACACTGTCCCTCTGGCAGGCTCACATTTCACCCCGTCTTCCGGTCCACCACTGCCACTTCTGAGAGGACCTTCCTGTGGAGGGAGCGCCCATGCTTGTACCAGATCCCTAACCCACCACATCCCACCCTCTCCTTAGATGGTGAGAAGAGGAATGCAGCCCACACCGACCCCTCCCTCATGGCATGCCATGGGGGCCATAAATGTCCAGCGGTCCGTCTCTGGGTCATACATCTCCACCGAGCTTAGGTTTGACTGCCCGTCGTAACCCCCCACAGCATAGAGGCGCCCACAGCTGGCCACGAGGGAGACCCGACTCCGGCGTGTGTGCATGGGTACTATGAGGCACCACTGGTCGGCCACAGAGTTGTACATCTCAGCAATGCTGAGGAAGCCAGAGCCATCGTAGCCCCCACAAACAAACATCTTGCTTCCCAGGGAGGCAGCACCGTGTCGGCAGCGCTTGTTGAGCATGCTGGCTGCTGGGTGCCAGGTGGCCGTGTGGTGATTGTAGTGCTCCACCTGCAGCAGGGAGACAGGTGCAGAGACAAGATGGTCAGAGACAAGGCCTGGCCCACGGGGTGACCCTGCAGGACTCAGACACTCACGTGGTGGCAGACTGGGAGAGATCAGAGGGAGGGAGCTCAGTTAACACGTGCCCTAGCTCTGATGCCACCTGTTCACAGCTGTGTACCTGCCTGCTTATGCCATGTTCTAAGCTGATGCCTGCTGGGTGCACGCAAGGGAACCAAGGAAGGATTTTCCCAAGGAAAGGCTTCTAGGTGATGGCAGAGCTGGAAGGAGAGTACTGTCTCATGTGACGGCCCCAAGAGTTTTTGACCTCGGTACTGACTGGGCTGTGCCCCCAGCTCAGGGATGAATTTGAAAAAAAAAAAATTCAAGGATGGAAGAAGTCACCCAGGATGGGACCAGACTCACACTGCTGAAGATCTGCAAACCATCGTGGCCACCCGACACATATATCCTGCCCTCGAAGATTGTAACCCCAGCTGCACTGCGGTTTGAGCTCATTGGAGTCACCACTGTCCACCTGCAGAAGACAGTAAGAACAGGAGGGGGCATGAGGTTCAGGGTTCATGACCTTCCACAACAGCTTAGCCAGGCCCAGGCCACCTTTTCTGTGTCTGCCGTGTCCTGATAATCTCTTAGCATCTTATCACTCCCCCCACCTCTGCAGATTACATGACTCCTGCTGCCTCTCACCCAAGCCCCAGATCCACAGTTGCCATGGGTGGGCAAAACCAGCACATCTCAAACAAGAAGGCCTAGCACACAATCTGCAACTGCTCACATTCCTGGGTCTTGCTAACAAGACATCTATCTACTTAGTTACTCCACTTACAAAACGTTAAGTGCTTATTTGGCTTCTCCTCCCTCTCTGAGCATTCAGCATTCTTTTTTTTTAAATATATAATTTACATGTTTTGCCTACATGTATGTCTGTGTAAAGGTGTCAGAAGCCCTGGAACCGGAGTTACATACAGGTGTGAGCTGCCATGTGGGTGCTGGGAATTGAACCCAGGTCCTCTGGAAGAGTAGTCAATGCTCTTAACTGCTGAGCCATCTCTCCAGCCCCAACGATGATTGATTGATTTTTTTCTTTTTAGACAGTGTTTCTTTCTATAGCCCTGGCTGTCCTAGAACTCACTCTGCAGAACAAGCTGTCCTTCAACTCAGAGATCTGCCTCCCAAGTGCTGGAATTAAAGGCATGTGCTACCACCACCAGGATGTAAGTATGTATGTATGTATGTATGTATGCATGCATGTATGTATGTATGTATGCATGCATGCATGCATGAATTTTTTGGCAGAGTCTTGCTATGTCACCACTGCTAGTCTGTTAGTCTCTACTTAGACTAGCCTGACCTTGAACTCACAGAGCGCCCCCCTTTTGCCTCCCCAGTGCTGGGATTAAAGGCAGCCCCACACTCCCTCTCGGCATACTTGTAGTCCATGAGCACTTGTTAGCTTGCTTGTTCAGCGCCCAACACCACTTGCCCAGCTCCGGCCTCCCACCTGGACCACTGTATGGACCTCCTCATGTGTGGCCTTGCTTTCAGGACATCTTTACTCCAATCCCACACAGCCAGGGGAACTAAATTGCTCCTCCAGCAGCTGTACCATGTCCCTGCAATGGTTCCTCACTGTCTTTTCTAAGGCAATGGACAAGGACCTTAGTGTGGTCTGTCTGTTTTGTGAGACAGGGTCTCAGTCTGTAGCTCAGGCTGGCTTTGAACTGGAGGCAATCCTCCTGCCTTAGCTCCCGAGTGCTGAGATTTCAGGATGAACTGCCATGCCTGGCTCTTCGTGTGTTTCTTTACTACATGGCTTTTCTCTATCTTCTAGATTTACCCACAGCACAATGAGAACTTCCTGATTTGAATCCCTCCTGCCTGCTTTCTTCTTGTCTAGGAGAAGCATTTATTACTGCTTAACATTTTCAAAAAGATCTCTGTGTGTGAATGTGCTTATGCATGTGGGTGCACACGTATCACATGCATGTGTGAATGTGCACGTGGAAACCAGAGGAATCTTGGGTATTATCTTCAGGACCACACTTACCTCCCTTATCTCCTTGGCCTGGAGTTCATCTATTAGCCTAGACTGATTGACCAGAAAGTCCCAAGGAATCCTCCTGTCTCCAACTTCCCAGCTAGGATTCTAAGTGTGAGCTACCATGCCTTGTATTATTACATGGGTGCTAGAGATTGAACTCAAGTTTGCAAGGCAAACATTTTACAAACTGAGCCATCCCCCAGCCTTACTGTCTATCCTTGACACATCTCACCTTGAACCCCTGCCCTAGGGAGATAAGGGTGCCCCACTCTGTGCTAAGAGTTCCAGGCCTCCAGGGGAAGGTGAGCACAATGCACTCTCGGCCTGCCAAACTGAGCTCTAGGCAGGATCAGCCTCCTTCCTACCTGGTAATAACCAGTCAGTTGGCTAGGTAACAGAATATCAGCTTTAGAACATCCTGATGGGTCCCTGCAGCCCATCTGCTCACATTCTGTTATCTAAAAGGGAGGATTCAAACATTAGAATGAGAATTCAGCCTAGCACTGCCAGTGTTTTCTTGCAAAAGCAGCCTACAAGATTGGAAGGGTGTTACAGAAAACACAAGTTTAAACAGGATTCCTCACTGCCAGCTTTTCTAGAACTTTTGCAATGTCATATGCATGAAGGAAAGACAAGCAGTGTGAAGGAAAAGATACCAACATTCCCCAAGCTTTCTGACCATATCCTTTCTTTCTGTCCAGTTACTTCTTACCCCTGGGCTTGCACTCGGGGTGGACTGGTTTAGAGAAGAGACACAGAACATAAGCTAATGTTTCTAAGTATCTGCATCTTTTGTCTGTTTGAAATGGGTTCATACAGCCTCGAGCTCCTAAGCTCCAAGTGCTGGAACTGTAGGCATGAACAACCATGCCTGACTTCAGTTCTTCTGAAATTCAACCAAAGAGTTTAATTTGTTTTGTTTATTTTTAATTTTTTGTTTTGTTTTGTCTTTTTGAGACAGGGTCTCACTTTGTAGCCCTGGCTGGCCCTTAACCAAAGATTTTAAAATCTGTTACATGAAAAGTGTTGTTAAGTCACTTCCTACCCAGAAGAACTTTTAAGCTAGGTGCACTGCATGTCTCTACGGCTGAGGTGAGACATTAGAATCCTTGAGTTTAAGACCTCTTCTCCAACAAAGCAAAGCAAAACTGGTGGGAGTGGGAGTCTAGAATGCATGAGGCCAGGTAGTGGGAACACTTGAGCTGAGCATAGAGGTTTATGTCTGTAATCCCAGCACTCAAGAGGCTGAGGCAGGAGGACTGCTGCGAGTTTGGGGTCAGCACAGACACACTCAGCTTAAAGAACACACCACAGCTCTAACGTTCACGCTGTGGAGTAAGCGGCCCTTACTTGTCCGTCTCAGGTGAGTAGGTCTCCACAGAGTTGAGGGAAGAGTTACCATCGTAGCCTCCACAGACGTAGATCTGTCCGTCCAGCACAACTGTACCCATGGCACTGAAACAGACAGAATGGTCATCCCAGCAGTCTGTCATTCACACTGAGAAGTTCACTATCAACTGCCTTTCTAGAGTAGACCCAACCCCAGGGACACAACCTAGTAAGGGCAAAAAAACCAGAAGCTGCTCAGTGGTTCCCAGGCCTGTGCTGGCTCCCACCAGGCTTAGGCTCAGTGAAGGCTACTTCCTCTCCAGGCAGTTAGTCCTCTGTCTGTGCTGGCTCCCGCCAGTCTTGGGTTCATTGAAGGCTACCTCCTCTCCAGGCATTTAGTCCTCTGTCTGTGCTGGCTCCTGCCAGTCTTGGGCTCAGCCACAGGCTACTTCCTCTCCAGGCAGTTAATCCTTGATCTGCCTGAAACCCTCAACTCATCTCACTGAAGCAGGGTTTAACTTACTTTTCTGTCTACTGGAGAAGGATGACTCTGAACTCCTAATCCTCCTGCCTCTACTTCCCAACTGCTGAGATTACAAGTGCGTACCACTACAACTAGCTGACTTATTCAAAAACATTTTTAGGGCTGGAGAGATGGCTCAGAGTTAAGAGCACTGGCTGCTCTTCCAGAGTTCAATTCCCAGCAACCACATGATGGCTCACAACCATTTAGAACTCTAGTTCTAGGGAATCTGATAATCTTTTTTGGCCTCCATGAGGGAGGCATACATGCAGGCAAAACACCAATACACATGAAAATAAATAATAAAAAAATAAAAAAATATTATCATTATGAGAGAGAGAGAGAGAGAGAGAGTGTGTGTGTGTGTGTGTGTGTGTGTGTGTGTGTGTGTGTGTGTGTGTGTGTGCATGAGCTGGACTGCTCAGAGAAGACATGCCAGTGCACTAAATGAAACAAGTCCAGAGTCCCCTACTCTATACATAAGTTTTCCTAAAATCCCGATTGTTCAGGTGTCTAGATAATCATATAACCTTCCATCCTATGTAAAGCCTTATGCAGAATTAAACAGGACCAAGTCACCGGACTCTGTTTTCACATCTGATGCTACAGAAAGCTAAAATGAAGCTGGGGTTGAACAGGAAAGAGAAATATACAAGACAACGGCCACTTTTCAAGTACACACAACAAATCAAATTGCAGTAACAGACCCTTTCAATCTGCCAGAAGAGGAGAGGGCCTTGTTTTAAGCAAGGTCAGTAAGATGACAAATTTACCAGGTATTGAGACTTTCTAGACATGGACATGAAACACACATGAATTAACTGTATTTCCTTTTTCTTGGTAGTATTGGAGACTGAACCTAGGGCCTCTCTCTTGTTAGGGCAAGCATCCTACTGAGCTACAGCCTTAGTCCCAAACACAATGTAGTTAAGCCAGGAGTTGAGTAACGATATGAGAATGAACCAAGACATGCTCCCAAACTATAAGCAACAATCAAGTAAGAAGACAAGCACTGAGAGAAGGAAAAGAGCCGACCAGTGTGGGCTGGAGCAATGTGGTACAAGAACCTGGAAGAAGGTTCCTGGCCCATAAGACAGAGACAAGATGGACAGAGGGCAAGAGGAAGCTGTCACTCACTGGCAGGATGGAGAGCAATGTGGGATGTTAGAAGAGAAGTAGCTTAGAACATTTTAAGGTAACCTGTAATTTAAAAGGGACAAATGGAACTATGCTCATGTTGTTAATACCAGACCATTAACCACAGCGAAGGAGAGGAACACCCAAGGGATTTTCCTCCCAAATAACACCAAACCCACCGACACCAAAGCAAGAAAGTCTCCCAGAGCAGACACACAAGGAAAGACACTGACTACAGTCAAAATAGAAGAGCCATGAGTTCCTCGGTCACAAAAAGCTGCAAAATGTCCAAGAGGAGGGGGAGGGTGCACAGCAAGGTGGGGAGAAGGAAGAGCAGACTCTGAGCATCCTCGGGAGAAGCACATCTCATGCACACATGGTTTCCTCCAAAAGGGATGTGTGGAGGAGACCCCCGTGACTCCTCGCTGCAGAGCAGATTCCTCCTGGCTCACGGCCTCAGCTAATCCTGCCGAGTGTGGAATACATGTCACCCTTATGCAGCAAAGCCCTCCACACTAACTACTTCCTCACCACACACTATCACTTGGCCTCCTCCCCCTTCCCAGCCGTGATCTTCCAAGTAGACACCCAGAAGTAAGAAGAATGGGTTTGTGAGGCAAAAGTTAGACCACAGAATTATACAGAAAAACCATTAAAGAGCAACTGGCTAGTAGGTTTTAAACTATCCTTTAAAAACACACACACAATTCTCCTTCCTAAAATTGGGCCATGTCATAGACGCTCGAGATGTTGGCAGATCTGTCCTGGTGAGATGTGTAAGAGTCTTGAGCTTCTTTCCCTACGAGGAGAGCCCTAGAGGACCATTTGCGACTGCTCATCTGCGGTGACCACAGGGCACAAGTGTGGAGGGACCTGTCCAACGACGCCCTGGTAGTATGGGCCCCCCTGCCACCGCAGCACATGCTGATGTAAGGAATGACGCTGCCTGCCATCTCTGGACTAAGAGGGTTAAACACAGGCACGACCATGATGTCCTCTAATCAGACCTCTCGGTCGGAAATGTGGGCAGACAAGCGGTGGAGGACACGGACAGCTAGACCGTGTTCGATGGTGTGAAAGTTCTGTCCACCTTGCAAATACATGTGTGCTCACATCTGGAGAACATGTGTGGCCCTGCCTAATTCATGCAATTCCCGGGCAGTGAGAGGAGTGTAAGTACAGCAAGGCAGCAGAGAAAACACTTTGGGTTTCCTCCCATTACTAATGAGGTTAGATCTCCTTATCCTTCAGGTGTCAACTTAATCCCACCTCTTCCCTGAGATCTTCCAGATGGTGCAGTCCAGTTTCTCGCCCTCCTGGAATCTTCCATAACACACATTTCAGTCCTTAGCTGGCACTTACATAACAATATAACTTCCACATGTCCATGTCTTGGCTCCCCAAGTTCCTCAAAGGACAAGGCAGGTATTTTATGTTTAAGCAGATGGGGGCTTGCTCCCAGGAGGTGCTGGCAGTGGCTGGCCTGGCAGCAGGAGTTCCCCAGGCCAAAACTTGCATTTTACTTTATTATGTGCCCCTACATGGGGCTCCCCAGATGCTCAGTGTGTGTGTTCAGCCTGCACGTGGCTTCCAGAATACCTTCTCTTGCTATTCATGCTCCCCACTCTGGTCCATGTGTCCGTCTCAGGATTGTAGGCCTCCACAGTGCTCAGCCGCAGCTGGCCATCATAGCCTCCGATTGCATACAGAAGCCCGTTCACCACAGCCACGCCCACACGACTGCGGGCTGTTGTCATGGGATGGCACTTTTCCCAGCGATTGGCGATGGGATCGAACACTTCTACCACATTCAGGGAATCACCTGCATAAAAATTTGCTACTCAAATTAAAACAAATGAGACCACTTGTTTAGATCACAACTACTGAGTATTGATTATATGGATATCTGACTTGATTCTAGGTCTTCCCATGAACCACTCAGTAACTGAACCCGCTACAAGCTCTAGCTGTGATAAATATTCTGGAATTAAATGGAAAGCATTTGCTCTTCTGTAGAGTAGTTTTCTGTTATAATCAGGTAAGCCTTTGCTTGGAATTGACAATAAAAGCAAATGCATAGAATATTTTCCCAATGCAGGAAGCATGCCAGAGCAAAGGGCATGGGTCCTAATGATAATTGCCACTTACTCTAATGTCCAGACAAGCTGCTTTATGTCCTCATCCTGTTTCGAATGTGAAAGTAAAGGCTAACAGAGCTGCCATGAGGATTAAATGGCATAATGGATACAACACCAAGTGGTTCTAGAATATACTTAGAAACTTAGTAAACAGTAGTCACAGAGACCAGGAATGGTAATTTGAACCCTCTCATTCCCCTCAGATTATGATTAGCAACTCAAACAATCCTCTTCCCTGTGGCTTGGGAGCCTAAGCACTCGCTACCCTCTTGTGTTTGTTACTAAAGACACTTTTCTAGGCCAGGCTGCTAACAAGCAGAAGACTGCTCGCTACCTTTCATAAACTTTATCGGACCTTCCCACTGGCCCTCCACGAGGCTTCCCCAGAAATGTGACGTATTAAATACAAGAGCTGCTGATAATGGTGGTTGTGTATTGTTTTGCTTGGAGTCAGAGTCTCAATACCTGTAACCTGGGATGGCCTCAAACTTGGGACCCTCCTGCCTCAGACGCTCAAGTCCTGAGATTACAGGTGTGTAATCAAGCCGCTGATAACAGGTGGATGTAAACCATGTAGGGTCTTCACAGGAGGCAGTGTGGAGAATTATAAAGAATTACAGACCTGGGGTACTGGGTTATCTCAGTCTGGAACAGATATTCCTATGCAAGCATGAACAGCCTGATTATAGAATCGGGAAGATTCCTTACCCTACTCTCTCTAGAGCTGGGTACATGCTACAGGGAACAAACACTAGGATTAAGTGCTGGTGTAAGCCCAGGATGGATTCCAGTCAGTCCTAGCTCTGACCAAAGCAGAGTGTGTATACAATGCCCAAGTTCCCTGGGTCTCACCTTCCTCATCTGTAAGTCTCAGCTACGGTGACTTACGTGACTCTCAGACAGAATCCCACTATGTAGTCCAGGCTGCCCTGGGCCTTGGGATCCTCCCAAGGGCTGGGATAACAGGGGTGTACTGCCCCATCCTGCCTCACCCCACCCCTTTCTGTTCTTGCTGAGACAGGGCCTACCTATGTAGTCCTGGTTGGCTTGGAAGTCACTATGTAGACTGGCCTTAGTTACAGCAATTCTCCTGCCTCTTATTCTCAAGTACTAGGATTATAAGCATGTGTTACATTGCTCAGCTTTTCTTTCTTTCTTGAGACAGTCTTACTGTGTAACTCAGAGCGGCTTCAAACTTACAATCCTCTTATTTCCATGACCCAGGCACTGGGATTATAGGCATCTGTCAGCATCCTGGGACTGTCAAACCTAATTCTTTAAGGCACCTTTAGCACTGACTTCAACTCAATATTATGAATACATAATAAGCTCAACTCTAGGGCAACAACTATACAAAGTAAGTAGGAGACAGAGCAGCATAAAGAAGAGGCATTAGAAAACCCAGGCTAGCCTGACTGTGCTTGTTAATCCGAGGGCTCCCAGGAAGAGCTCTGCAAAGGGGAGCTGCAAGATACCTGCTGAGTTGAGGCCCCCCACGGCGTAGATGAGCCCAGCAATGGATGTGCAGCATCGAGGCCGAGTCCTGAAAGCTGGAAGGTGGGGCCGGCGCTCTGGCATGAGGTGGTAGTCCTTTGCTTCATCTACCAGGTCCCTGCAATGAATCGCAAGAAGCTAGGAGAGGGAGTACATTTACGCTGGTCTATATTTCTACTGCTGAGCCTGGCTCTACCATACCCCAGTGCAGCGGCGTTCGGGAAAAGTCTTCAGGAAAATCTGACCTATCAGTGTCTGTCTGTCTCTCTCTCATGCTGGGGATCGAATCTAGGGCCACACACTCACCAGAATGCTCTACCTTTGAGCTATATCCCCAACCCTTATGTGAGGGTTAGTGTCAAAGAGTGAGGGTGAGGTCGAGAAGCCATACAGAGCTATGAGACATGCTCAAAAGTTAAGGAGCACAGAGAGCAGAGGCCTCAGCTAGCATAACCAGAGCAACTGCCTTCTAATAGGCACAATCCAGGTGTGAATTTTTAATCACATTTTAAAATTTATTTTACATACTGACCAGTTTCTCCTCCCTCCTGTCCTCTGGTTTCTTCTCCCCACCTCCCTCCTACCCACCCCCCACTACTCAGAAAGGGTAAGGCCTTCCATGGGGAGTCAACAAAGCATGGCATGTCAAGTTGAGGCAGGACCAAGCTCCTCCCCACTGCATCAAGGTTGAGCAAGGCATCCCACCATAGGGAATGGGCTCCAAAACGTGAGCTCACACTAGGGGTCCCACAAACAGACCAAGCTACACAACTGTCACTCACATGCAGAGGGCCTAGGTCAGTCCCAAACAGGCTCCCTAGCTGTCAGTCTAGAGTCTGTGAGTTCCCACAAGATCAGGTCAGCTGTCTCTGTGGGTTTCCCCATCATGACCTTGACCCCCCTGGCTCGTATAATCCCTCCTCCCTCTCTTTAACTGGATTCCCGGATCTTGGCCCAGCGCTTGGCTGTGTATCTCTGTGTCTGCTTTCACCAGTTACTGGGTGAAGGTTCAGGAGTGATTTTGAAAAACAGAGTGGGGGTTAACACGAACGTGTTAGGGGAAGCTCAACAGCCTACTTCCCATCAACACTCAGCTTGTCCCTCCCACCCCAATGACCATCCCATGGATTACATCCTCCAGTCAATCGTCCATCACCACTTGCACCATGGCAACTGTTGCCAAGTGCTCCAGAAGACCTTCCCTGCCCCCAGCCTGCCTCTTCAGCTCCTCTTCACCACAGACCACATTGCCTTTTCTAAGAACTTTCTTTATAGCTATGTACTACTGCAGGATAGTTCACACGCCTCAATACTACCCTTCAGGCTGCTCGTCACAGGGCCCTAGCTTCCTCCAGCCACACGTCCCCACTTCCTGACACACAAAGCCTGCATCACGCCACTGACTTCCCCCTGAACCTGCTGATCCCAACTATGGGTGAAATAGTGCTGAACTCAATATGTGAAAAATCTTATCAGTAAAGGAAAAACAAACAAACCAAACATTGCGTTGTGAATATAACAAGCAACTGGAAAGACAGGCCTTTTTCTCTGCTGTGTTAATTGTATAACAAGTCATCTTCGGAACTGTGCTGGTGGCTCTGGGTACAAGTTGCATACACTGGTACACAAGACATCCCTTTCCCATCACTCACCAGAGGCTAGTGCACAGCGACTATTTATTGAAGAAGGCGAGGAGCCCCAGGAAGTCCCATTTGTACAATCAAGTCAGGGCCAGTGTGAGCAAGGTCCAGCCAGGCAGCATAGACACAGTACACTCATAGACTCAGCAGATGAAGACGAAGAACACATAGATAACTTAGGGAAGAAAAAGTCCCTTCTGCTCCCATGTGGCATCTCTCTCACCACTATGTGAGTCTTGTGCAATGCATGCACCATGAATTAAGACTGACTGCTTCAAATCCCTCTTTCCCTGAGCTAGGACAGGTGGCCAACTCCTCTTCTTTGCCTACACCCTGGGCAGTGTCCTGGACAAAGCCACCCATACTTACCTGCATTTGTGACAGCAACGCACCAGGTCATCTTGCTGCACTCGGTCTGACAGGAACTGGGGCCGGCAAAGAGGCAGGCGGATATTGGATAACAGCTCAGGCAGGCAAGGTTCCCTCTGCTCCCGGTCGTATCTGACCCAAGCTAATGCAGCTTCAAAAACCTATGGGACAAAGAGCAGATGCTCTGGCAGCTACACAGACCACACTCCTGCTTCCTCAGTCTCCGCCTATACTGAACAGGTCCTCCGGCGATCCAGCTTTCCTCCTACTGGAGTCTGGAATCTACAGCTTTCTTTCCACTTCTCCAGCTATGCTCTTGGGTCCACTCTTGTGTTTCTGAGACAGGGTTGTCTATGCAGCCCAGGCTGGTCCAGAAGAACTCAAGGTCCTCCCAAGTGCTGGGATGACACTTGTGAGAGAGCATGGCAAGCTTCCTTCAAGTCTTCTGTAATGTGAGCCTAGGTTACTGTAAGAGCTTCCAGGCTTTCATTATCATTTTTTAAAATTTAAAATTTTTGGTGTGAAGGTGTTGGGTTCCCTGGAACTGGAGTTAGTTGGGAGCTGCCATGTGGGTGCTGGGATTTGAACCTGGGTCCTCTGGAAGAACAGCCAGTGCTCTTAACCACTGAACCATGTCTCCAGACCCTCATTCTCATGCCCTTTCTACATCACAGCAACATGTCTATTTCTCTTCCTTCCTGCTGCTTTTGCAGTCTACCAGCTCTACATTCTCTATACCAGGCAGGCCAGGCCAGTTCCTCTGCTTACACTGTCCTCTGCCCCACAAGCAAAGCTGGCCGTTTCCTGCTTCTCTTTATTTAAGTCTGCTCCCTACTCTCTAAAGTCTAGCTCAAGGTATATATTCTCTTAGGAGTCTTCCTTAATACCTCCAACCACAAGAATATTACTTTTTGAAAGCCATCATACCTGACAGATTGCCATTTAAATGCATGTGAGTCACCACAAGACACACTGATTAGCAGCAGAAGGTTGGGGCTTCTATGTCCATGCTAACAGCTCAGATCCATGTCTCTACTGGTCACTAATCAAGGGTGGGAACTCTCCAAATATTCAGAAAATTTAGCTGAGGTTGTGCTAACATCCCAAGGGTTGCCTCCTAGAAAGTCCTAGATGAGCCCAGACTTTCTCAGGGGCAAGGTTGAAAAGATAAAAGGAACTCTAGTGCTATTCCTTTCCAGAGGCAAACTCACAAAGGCTCAGTATGGGGCCGGGGCCAGGCCAAGATGATAAATTTTGGTTCCTGGAAAACAGGCTTTCTACCCTGAAAGACTGTGGTTATCAGTCTAGAGGCAGCTGTGTTTGAGGTATCCCTATCCTGTGTTATCTTGCCACATTGTTGGATTTAGCTTTCTGCTGACCCCAAACCATCGCCCCCACCCCCAGTAAAGAATATATAAAAGGCATTCTTGTTATTGTTCTTCTTCGAGATAGGATTTCTCTGTGTCACCCTGGCTGTCCTAGAACCCACTCGGAACTCACTCTGTAGACTAAGTTAGTCTTTAACTTTAACCCAAGTGCTGGGATTAAGACCATGCACCAACACTGACCAATAGGATGCTATACGTCTTAATAAATTTGCTTAACATGAGCCATGCCAAACAAAGACATGGTTGCCATTCCTTGGAACAGGCAGTACAGACCCATCTGTAGGTAAGGTTACAGGTGGGGCATAATTCAATCCTTGAGAAACAGGTTTAATCAGAAACACGAAGGAATCTAATTTGGTCTTTACTGCAAGACAACTGTTAAGCTTAAGATGGAGGCAGGCTGGTTCCACTCCTGCTCTCTGATCTCTTTAGAAGAACAATGGCTCCTTAGCCATGGGCTGGTTGAAAAGCTGGGGGCCATTCCCACTAGCAGTGGGGTCTCCACTTTCAAGCTGCTTCCTGGAACGGCCTATAACCCACACAGGAACTCGTGTCCTCTGGGCTGTGAGCTGCTATGGACAAACACAGTGAAGCTGATACCACAGCTGTGAGGGATGGAGGACCATGGATTACCAGGTCTCAGTTTTTCAGATTTCATATTGATCTTAGCAAAAGACCAAGAATGGCTGACAAGACCATGCAGTGAGGAAGGGACTTGCTGTATCTGACTTTAATCCTGGAACCCACAGGGCAGAAAAAAAGAACCAATTCCACAGAGTTGTTCGAAGACTTCCACACTCCTGCTACAGCTATGTGTACATGTGCACATACTAAATAATAGCACTGAATAAGTAAATAAATTTTATTTATTTATTGAGACATGGCCTCAATGTGTAGGTCCACCCTTTCTGGAACTTACTCTGTAGGACAGGCTGACCTTGAACTCACAGAGATCATCTGTAAGACCCCTGAGGTTCCAGTGGCCATACCCTGCCCTCAGACTTCCAGCCAAATCCTAGGCTTACCCCAAGATCAGGTCACAAAATCCCATGCCACCCTGGAAAGTTCTGCTCTCCATAAGAAACTCTATAAAGCCTGCCTCCTCCTCAGATCTTTGCTGCTTCTCCCCAACTCTCCCAAACAGAGGCAGCCATTTTCTTGTCTCTTTTCCAATAAATCTCTTGTGTGACTTGGCTCCCTACTGCCAGGATGCCTTTCCCCTTATAGCTGTAACACTTATACCCTCCTACCTCTGCCTCCCAAGTGCTGGGATTAAAGGTGTACACCACCATACCATACCTCCATTTTATTCTTAAAGACAGAGTCTTACCATCAGCCCTTCCAGGCCCCAAACTCCGGCAAGCCCAGCTTTGGGAGAGCTTGGGTCTCTGGCGGAGACACTCCCCATCCCCTGCCCAACACCCATCCCCTCAATCGTCCAGGGCCACTCCTGGCATCCAGAAGACCCGCCCACACAGGAAAGACATCAGCCTTTCCAGGTCCCAAACTCCGGCAACCCCAGCTTCAGCTTAAGGAAGGAAGGAAGCCAGTGGAGACGGAAAGACCCCACCAGCACCCACTGGAAGAAGAGATGGGAAGAAGACAGAATAAGAGCTCACTCAGCAATAGAAAGACCAACATGACTCCACCAGAATCTAGGGAACCAATACCAGCAAGACCTGAAAAGCACTACATAAATGAAGCAGAGGAGACAGACCTTAAAAATTATTTTATGAAGATGATAGAGACCCTCAAAGAAGAAATGAGGAAATCCCTTAAAAAATAGAAGAAAAAAACAAACAAAAAAGTCCATAAAATGGGGGGAAAATTCAAGAAATAAACAAATATCTTAAAGAATCTAAAGAGCACCAAGAAAAAACAACCAAAAAAATGAAGGAAACAACTCAAACAGTTGAAGGATTGAAAGCTGAAATAGAAACGATAAAGAAAACACAGAACGAGGGGATGCTGGAAATAGAAAAGCTGGGTAAACGATAAGGAACTACAGATGCAAGTATCACCAACAGAATACAAGAGATAGAAGAGATAATCTCAGGTGTTGAAGACTCATTAGAGGATATACAGTCATCAACCAAAGAAAATATCAAAACCAACAAATCCCTAACACAAAATATCCAGGAAATATGGGGCACCGTGAAGAAGCCAAACCTGAGAATAATAGATATAGAAGAAGACAAAGAAATACAGAAAACATATTCAACAAAATCATAGAAGAAAACTTCCCTAACCTAAAGAAGGATATGCCTATGAAAATACAAGAATCTTACAGAACACCAAATAGGCTGGACCAGAAAAAGAAGTCACCTCGTCATATAATAATCAAAACATCAAACCTACAGAATAAAGAGAAAATATTAAGAGCAGCTAAAGAAAAAGGCCAAGTAACATACAAAGGCAGACGTATCCGAATTACACCTGACTTCTCAATGTAAACGATGAAAGCCAGAAGATCCTGGACAGATGTCCCACAAACGCTAAGGGAACAAGGATGCCAGCCCAGACTACTATATCTAGCAAAGCTTTCAATTACCATAGATAGAGAAAACAAAATATTCCATGACAGAGCCATGAATCCAGCTCTACAGAAAGTGCTAGAAGGAAAACCTAGATCCAAGGAAGATAACTACACTCACAAAGACACAGGCAATATATAATCCCACTTTACAAAACACCAAAAGAAAAAAGAAAAATAACTTCACTAACAATAAATCAAGCACAAACAAGAATCATCAATCAATGGCCATTAATATCCCTCAATGTCAACGGCCTCAACTTGCCTATAAAAAGACACAGACTAGCAGAATAGATACGAAGACAGAATCCTTCCTTCTGCTTCATACAAGAAACACATCTCAACATCAAAGACAGACGTTATCTCAGAGTAAAGGGTTGGGAAAAGATCTTCCAATCAAACGGTCCCAAGAAACAAGCGAGTGTAGCAATCCTAATATCTAACAAACTAGACTTCAAATTAAAATCAATCAAAAGAGATGAAGAAGGACACTTCATATTCATCAAAGGAAAAGTCCATCAAGATGAAGTCTCAATTTTAAACATCTACGCCCCAAATACAGAGGCATCTACATTCGTGAAAGAAACATTACTAAAGCTCAAATTGCACATAAAATCTCACACACTAATAGTAGGAGACTTCAACACTCCGCTCTCACCGCTAGACAGGACTTCCAGACAGAAACTTAACAAAGAAACAAAAGAACTAATAGAAGTTATGACCCAACTGGATTTAACAGACATCTATAGAACATTCCACCCAAACACAAAGGGATATACCTTCTTCTCGGTGCCACATGGAACCTTCTCTAAAATTGACCACATAATAGGAAACATAGCAAATCTCCACAGATACAAAAAAATTGGAATAACCCCCTGTATCTTATCAGACCACCATGCATTAAAATTAGAATTCAACAATAACACAAATCGCAGAAACCCTACAAACTCATGGAAATTGAACAATGCACAATTGCACCATCCCTGGGTAAAGGAAGAAATAAAAAAAGAAAGTAAAGACTTCCTGGAATTCAATGAGAATGAAGACACAACATACACAAACTTATGGGACACTTTGAAAGCAGTGCTGAGAGGAAAGTTCATAGCACTAAGTGCCCACATAAAGAAACTGGAGAACAGTCATACTAGAGAATTAATAGCACAGCTGAATGTTCTAGACAGAGTCTTATTTTGTAGCCCTGGCTGGCCTGAAACTCACTTTGGAAACCAGGCCTTGAACTCACAGAGAACTACCTGGCTCTGTCTTCCAAGTACTGGGATTAAAAATGTGTGCCACCATATCCAGTCCATAAACAATTTTAAAGGCCAAGAAGTAATGACCTTGAGAGGTTTACAGCTGACATATTTTTAAAATGTGTGTGACACTGTGAGTATCCCCGAGTGCAGCCTCAACACGGTTGCCTCTTTGTGAACCCAGATGAAGAACTCAATGTGGACTCCATGGGTTCTGGGCAGAATAGCTAGGTAGAGAAAGGTCTGGAGGGGGCCAGCAGAGACATTCAGACCCAGAGTGAACAGGCATGCCCAGTCTGTAAACAAGTCTCTTGTTTCTAGCGTAAGACTCACTTCCAGGTCCTGGTCTATTGCCCAAACCTCCTTGCCTCTCTTGGCTAACAGTGTTTCATAACATTGGCCAATACTTGATTTCTAGCCAAGTAAAGAAGGGGCCCCCATTCTGGAGCCATCAGCCATTTATGACACCAGCAGTCCTTGGGCAAGGCAGCCTAAGGATCACCTAAATAAAAGGAGTCAAGAGAAGTAATGTGTCAGACACAATGGCAAGGTTGTGGAAGGCATTTGTGTTGGTGGTGGCTTTAGTTGTGGTAGCCTGTGAAGCCCATCGCCCACCAAGATATGAGGATATTGTTGACCGGGCCATAGAGGCATACAACAATGGGCGTCCAGGAAAGTCCCTCTTTCGCCTGGTAGATGCCCCCCAGCCATCTGGTCAGGTGAGTGTCTGCCACCCCAGCCTGGGACACAGGCAGTGTAGAAGGTTTCTCTTACTTGGGGACTGGACATGTAGTTCAGTTTGTAGGGTGTTTGTCTTGCATGCATAGAACCCTGGACTTGAACCCCAGCACTCCGCATGTGGAGGCAGGAGGATCAGAGGTTTATAATTAGTCTCAGCTATGTAATGACTTCTAGGCCAGCCATTTCTGCTACTCACAGTTAGGATAAGTCTGTACTGTCAGCCTGTCTCCTTGCATGAGACTTGATGGAAAGGAACTTTGATTCCTGTTTTATACAGGACGATGCTGAAGGAAAATCAAAAAGTGTCATACAGCCATTTGCAGTAAAGACTATAACCTCTCCCTTTTCAACCAAAATGTAATGGAGTCTGCCTGATCTTGAACTCCTGATCCTCCTGACTCCACCTCCCAAGTGTTGAGACTACAGGTGTGTGCACCATGCCCAACTGTACCCTTACTTCATCTATGTAATGCTGGGTGGCCTGCAACTTGCTATGTAGACCAGGCTGGCCTTGAACTCACAGAGACCTGCCTGCCTCTGCCTCCTGAGTGCTGGGATTCAGGCATGTGCCACCACACCCCCTGACTGTACCCTTCAGGTCTCTGTTATGGCCGTTTAATAGGCCCCAGACTGTGGCAGACAGTGTAGACATGGACTAGGCTGACAAGGCAGTATCACCTAACCCCTCTGTGCTCTGCTCCGGAATCTGTAGAAGAGAGATGGTCATGAGTTCTCTGTTCCTTCCTTAGTTCTCCGCTATCAGTATCTCATTGGAGTTCAGGATTAAAGAGACAGAGTGCATCTCCAATCCGGAAAGGCAGCCTAGAAACTGCAACTTCCTGGAGGATGGGGTGAGTCTCCTTCTCCCAGCTCCCAGACTGCCTTGTGGAGGAACACAAGTTCTCTGCTTCCTTGGCTCCATCCATATCACTCGGCCACTTCACCAGCAGCAATTTTAACTTGAAGTCTTTTTCTAAACCACATGTGTGGCTTCTGAATTGCCTTAGTGCATACAGAGACCCTGGAACTGACACGGCGAACAGAGCTGACTCTACAGGCATGCACTCTCACACTCCCAAATTATACTTAGGAAAAACAAAACCAGACTTTTAAATACCTTTTCTTACTATAAAGTATTTCAGTTACTACTAAAATAGCAACGTGTATCTCAGTGGTAGTCTTGCTTCGCAAGTGCAAGGCCCTGGGTTTGATTCCCAATGCCACCCAAAACGGTGTGGGAGGAGGGTCACATGCTAAAACTGCTAGACATAAAACAGAGAAAATGACAAAGGGTGGCTGTAATCCACCTAGAGATGTTGCTTTTAGAAACAGAACTAGGAAGTAACATATTTCAAATGTTCTTTTACCATTCACACTTAAAGCAATGGTTCCATTTACTGGCTCACAACCTCATTTCCCAGGGACAGGCATCAGCTGTTATGTGTCTTCACCCAGGACCTTCAACAAACATGGTTTTCTCTGGACATGAGAAGTTCTATTGACTGTATGGATGCCCTGTTGTTTACATTAGCGGCTGTGCAATCCTGTTCGCTGGCTCTGGTTTGCATCTCTGGTTTGAGGACAGTGAGGACCCCTCTCCAGAAATGTGATAAGATGCCTCTAGCTTCTGTCCCATCCCCCCTTACAGGAGGAGCGAGACTGCACAGGTCAATTCCTCAGAAGGAGGCGTTCAACCTCTTTGACCTTGAGCTGTGACAGGGATTGCAGTAGAGAGGTGAGCAGCTTGCTGCCCCAGAGGCTAACCCTGAGGTTACCCGCCCCCTGCGCTCTCTCTTGGGCTCTGGGAGAGGCACTGAGTTGACTGTGTAAGCCCCCACACACAGGCTCTTATCTGGGAACAACCACCCAAGCCCTTTGCAGCAAGCGTGTGGAAAGGTGTGGCATGTGCTGTGTCCGCATGGCTTAGACCTTCCCACTGTTAGCAGAGGAGGGGCCTGGAAGAGTTCTAGAGGGGACTGGTGCTCTGCAACATCAATTCCCTGGCCTCATCAAGACAGCCAGTGGGAGCCCAGCTCCTCTTAATCCAGATCTGCCCAGGCCTCTGTGTCCCATCACGCCCGACCTTGTAGCTGGTGCCTCTGCCGCCTCACCCTGTCCTTTAGGGGAAGAGCACAGGTATGCTGGACACCATCCACTGTGATGGTGGTGACTGTGTGGCATCTCTCCCACAGGGTGCCTCAGTGAAGGAGTTTTCTGATTACAGTGTGTAGGATGTCTCTGAGAAGGAGCAGGTCAAAGATTTTCCCCCGGAGATCAGAAACATTTATGAAAATGCCAAGTTTGACATCATCAATAACATCCTTCGTAATTTCTAGAGCTGGAGAAGGGAGGGGAGGCTCTGCTTGCCTCTATGCCCTCCTCTTCCCCACTACCGGTCTCCCTATGCTGTCTCCAGGACCCTGCTGTCTGCACTTCCCAGGAGGGCTCCCATAAACACAAGATAAGATGCTATGCTTCTATTTTTCTGTTTGTTTGAGACAGGGTTTCTCTATGTAGCCCTGTCTGTCCTAGAACTTACTCTGTAGAACAAACGAACGTCAAACTCAGAGATTTGCCTGCTTCCTGAGTGCTAGGGTTAAAGTCGTGTACCACCACTGCCTGGCTGAACAGACTTCTTACTCTGTATTCAATGTCCTTCACTGACAGCTCTCCCCAATCTGTCTCCACACTCACTATCCTTGTGAGCCCTCTGCTCTTCTCTGGAACAGTCTCTGCTTTTATTTCAACTTTTCTTGACCACTCCAAGAAGAAAAGACCTTTCATTTGCTTTACCAGTAACTCCACCATGTAAGACGGTTATAAACAGCTTTCAAGAACTTCCCAATTTCACAGAGGGATATGTATGTGTGTGTGTGCGCCTGTGTGTGCGTGCGTGTGTGTGTGTGTGTGCGTGTGTGTGTGTATGTGTGTGTGTGTGTGCCCGCGCGCGCTTCCGCGCGCCTATGACAGAAGAAGGTTTTAGATTCCCTGAAGCTAATGTTCCAGGCAGTTTTAAGCCACCCTACACGAGGAAACCAAACATGGGTCCTCTGGGAGGACTGTGCATTCACAGCTCTTCTCTGTCTACCTGGCTCTCTGTTGATCCCAAAAAACAGCTGCCCAGAACCCATGGACTCCACAATGAGTTCTTCATCTGCATTCACAAAAGGCAATGATTTTGAGCGTCACAGACTAGCAGTGGTGACACAGTGAGATTCTGCCAGCAAATACACACATACACACATACATACATACATACATTCTGGTGGTGGTGGCACATGCCTTTAATCCCAGCAGAAGGGTATAAATTTTACAGCTCTGAGGGAAAAGGCAGCCTGGCAGCAGGGAGCCATGTTACACAAGAGATTTGCTGGGAACACGACAAGAAAATGGGCTCTTTACCACTGAACCATCTCTCCAACCCACAATATCCAGCTCTTGAAATTCAGTGTGCCTTTTATTCTAAACTTGCACCCAAAAAACACTGACAGAGAACATACCAGAAAGCTGAGCACTTTAAGCTTAAGCTGATCATCAGGCCCTGCTCCCTAGCAAGCCCTCTCCAAATCTCAACACTCATCTGATACATTTCACTTCCCCTCAGATTTCCAGTATTCCCTCATGCTCACTCTCAGCTGGGAAGACGGAAACAAAGCACAGAACAATGTCAACAGGAGATACCTACCCCCTTGTCTGGCTGTGCACACCGCCTCTTGCTGGGCTGCTATGGGTGCAGATGGCTTTCGCTCCTATCTAGTGCTCAATCCCAGTTGCCTGAGACTCTGATTCTCCTCACTTCAGAACACCATTCAGCCACCATTTTCCTGTTTCTCTTGCATCACCAATGCCCCCCACCTCTGGAAAGTTCCACCAACAGTCAAAGGTATATAATTTCTCTGGCCTTAACCATAACAACAACAACTCCAACTTCAAGTGCTTGATTTTCAGTTTATGGCAATATTATTCCTAATAATAAATACTGAAGTTAAACTAAGCTCTAACAATAAAGGAAATGTAGCTGATAAAGATAATATTATTTTGATACTAAAATAAAAGAAAGGATTTAGAAAAACACATGTAACAAAACAAACCCCACAATACACAAAAACTGTACATTCAGACTGGAGAAATGACTTGGCGATTAAGAGCACTGCCTGTTCTTCCAGAGGACCCAGATTCAATTCCCAGCACCCACATGGCAGCTCACAACTGTCAGTAACTACAGTTCCAGGGGATCTGATACCTTCACACCAATGTACATAACATGAGGTTAAATAAATTATTTAAAAAACTGTCTATTCATCATTTGTTTAAAGAAAAAAAGGAAGGAGAGAAGGAATGAAGGAAGCAAAGAGGTAGGAAGGGAGGAAAGGAAGAAAGGAGGGAGGGGAGGAAGGAGGGGAGAAGGAGGGAGGGAGCGAGGGAGGAGGAAAGGAAGGAGTGTGTCCTCTGTCTGGACAGACTGCTGCTGTGCTCACGCACCTGTTCCTCTGACTTCACGTTCAGCTCATCCCGAGACAGCAGCTCAAGCACGTCTTCCAAGGGCAGGGCCAGGAACTCTTCGGACAGAGACACCTCCACAAAGTGCTGGTGGATGAAGCTGTTGGCTGCATCATACAGCACTGCACACATCATTGTCTCAGCAAACTGGCGCACACCCAGGCAATTTTTGGGGTGAAGCCTTTGGCATAAGATGAAAAGAATAAGTTTAGAGGAAGGAATAATGTGATCTTCAATCATTCTCAAAATGGTTTGGAGTACAGCCACAGAACAAAAGTAACACTTTGTTCCCAGCATTATTGGAAGTCCTGTGATATCAGGCACCCCCTCCCTGACTCACTTCTAATGGCATTAAGTTAAGATGTGCTAGCCTCAATAAGTCTTTGCTTCTTGGGGCATGGCGCTCTGCACGTGGAAGTGGAGGGGACCCTCAGGAGTCCTGGGAAGCAGCCGTCAGGTGAAAAGACAGGCAAGCTTGCCCTCGGAAACCCCATCACCACACCCAGCTGCTGTGGTCTCTGAGAGTAGCCAGGGCACTATTTTACCTCTAGGCACCGGGAAGGCACGAAAGGCATGGAGAGACACCTTCTTTGACACAGCGAACATTACATGCTTTCTTAGGTAGAGGGAAGCTCCATGAACCTAAGAGTTCAAGCCTCTAGAAACAGCAGCAGCAATTATTATTAGTTTATCACTTTAGTGACTAACATACTTTGCTAGACTTTGTATACCCATTCTGCAGAATCATTATACTTTTAAAGATTTAACTTTATCACCTTTAATTATGTGTCTCTGTGTGAGTATGTGCACATGTGTGCAGACAGAGGAGTTGGATCCCCTGGTGCCGTGGTTACAGGCAGCTGACAGCTGCCCTGTGTGGGTGCCGGGAATTAAACTCTTTGGAAGAGCAGCAGGTGCTCTTAACTGCTGAACCATCCTTCCAGTTCCCCGTTTGAACTTTTCTGAGGTGCTGCCGACTGAATCCAGGACCTTGTACATGTAGGCAAACAGTCTATCAGTGAACTCCATCTTCAGTTGCTTAATGATGCTTTTGAAGGACTGGAAAGATGGCTCAGAGGTTAAGAGCATTTACTGTTCTAGAGAATTTGAGTTCAGACTCTGGTAGCCACATTTGGTGTTTCACAACCTCATGTAATTCCAGCTCCAAGAGATCTAATGTCCTCTTCTGGTCTCAGAGGGCACCTACACACACATGACATGCATGCACGCAGGCACGCATGCAGGCACGTAGGCACCCACGCATTCAGACAGACAAACAGCCATACATAAAGAATCTTTTTTTAAAAAATCAACCCTGTGGATTTCTCTCTTTTTATAGGGGAAGACAGAGGTCCAGGGAAACCAAGGAATTGTTCCCAGTCCTTTGACAAGTGATTGGAGATGCTGAGACTGAAGTCAGGGTTCTTGCTGTAACACCATGGCAGACCTGCACTCATCAGAGCCTGTCCCTCTCTGAGGAACCTGGGCACACTCCCTGAGCTCACAGAGTGTCATTAATTCTCCCATATAAAAAAGATGATGACGGCTGGGTGGTAGTACTGCACACCTTTAATCCCAGCACTCAGGAGGCTGAGGCAGGCAGATCTCTGTGAGTTCCAGGACAGGCCCAAAGCTACAGAGAAACCTGTCTCAAAAAAATTAAAAAAAAGAAAGAAAGAAAGAAAAAGAAAACAGAAAAGATGATGACATTCCAGGACACCAGAGCTGTTACACAGAGACTCAGGAGAGAGGGGGGGGGGAGGAGAGAGAGAGGGAGGATGACAATTTTGCACCTATTAGGGCTAGAGCTATGATTAAGAAAGAACGTGGGAGCCGGGTATGGTGGTATGTGCCTTGTAATGTGCCTTGTAGTCCCAGGAGAATCACGTGAGCTCCAGTTTCAGGGGATTCAATGCTTTCTTCTGACCTCTAAGAGTACCCACAGACACAGTTTACATGTGTGTGCACACAAACACAAGAAACAAAATGACTGTAGGCAAAAGTACTGGCCCATTGCCTGGTAAGAAGCTGCTGCTCTTTTAGTTTCTATTGGTTTTTTTCTTTTTCTTTTTTTTTTTTTATTCTCGAACACACTACACACTGGGAGCTGAACAGAACCTACCCACAGATAGAGAAAGAATGAGCTGCATACCTACTGGCATTCCTGTCCACTCTCTCCTCGGGTTAGGATTCCTGTACCTTGATCAACCTGATTTAATAGGGCGCACCAATCACACCCTCCTAAGTGAACTATGCTACTGTACCTGACATGACAGAGTATGGGATGGGAACCCGGGGGCTGCAATGGAAATGGAAGATGCAGTGGCCACACAGCAAGAGGCTCATCCAGGAGGATGAAGACAGGGAAATAAAGCCAAAGGGAAACAGAGCCGCCCCCACACAGCCACCTTCTTCACCGACAGCTCAATTTGTCAGTAACGAGACTGCATTGGTACCACACACTACTGAAGACAGAGACCCGGGATCTGCAGGGCAGTCGCTGACTTGTGTCACTGACACATTTGAGCTTTAGTCTAGCTGAAGACTGGCAATGAAGCTCAATGGTATTGGGGGATATTGATCACACTGTGAAACTCCAAGACTGTGTTAATAAAATTAACCTTGGATCAGGGGTGGAGCCAGGAACTAGTAGGCAAGAAGTAGCCATGGAGAGTACAGAGGATCCAGGGAGATGGATAGAGATGCACAGGAAGGAGCAGGGAGGGTGTTAGATTCTCAGGTCTTTTTGGTTTGGGACGGGTGGAGAGATGCTTTCTTGCTAGGTCTCTGACCAAAAAGGAAGGTCAGCTGGTTGCTTCTTGGTCAATCTGAGCTAGCAGGTTTTCACCCCAGCATCTGACTCCTGAGTTTTTACTGGCAAATAGAATAACTTAGATAAAAACAACATAGTGGTAGAGCACTTACCATGTAGAAGGCCTTGGGTTTGACTCCCTAATACCTCAAGTGGAAAAAGAACCACCAAAACAATCTAGTTCTGAGAGAAAGGTTGCAGAAACTCATGCCAGTGCTCATCTAAAAACCAGGAGGAAGCCAGGAGGTAGTGGTGCATGCCTTTAATCCCAGCACTTGGGAAGCAGAGACAGGTGGATCTCTGTAAATTCAAGGCTAGCCTGGTCTACAGAGTGAGTTCCAGGACAGGTTCCAAAACAATACAGAGAAACCCTGTCTTGAAAAAACACCAACCAACCAACCAACCAAGCAACCAACCAATCCCCCCAACCAAACAAAAAACAAACAAAAACCGAGGAGGCCCACTGGGCAGTGGTGATGCACACCTTTAATTTTAGCACTCTGGAGACAGAGACAGGCAAATCTCTGAGTTTGTGGTCAACCTGGTCAAGGATGGCCAGGGCTACATGGAGAAATCTTGTGTTGAAAAAGCAACCAACCAAAAAAAAAAAAAAAAGAAAAAAAGAAAAAAAAGAAAAAGCAACCAACCAGCCTGGTGGTGGTGGCGCACGCCTTTAATCCCATCACTCGGGAGGCAGAGGCAGGCGGATCTCTGTGAGTTCAAGGCCAGGCTGGACCGACAGCCTCCAAAACAATACAGAGAAACCCTGTCTCGAAAAACCAAAAAAAAAAAAAAAAAAAAAAAAAAAGAAAGAAAAGCAACCAACCAAACAAAGAAAACAAATAAACAAACAAAACAAAACCAGGAGGCTCACGTATCTGCAGGCTAGGAAAAGGGCCACAGAGAAAAAAAAAAAATCAACTGCAACCTCTGGGTAGAGGAGGCAGCTGGTAGAAGAGCCGATAGGCTGGGGGGGTGGGGAGGGTAGGAGATGCTGTCAGTGCAGCCTCTCTGTGCCCTCTCGCCCAGAGTGGTTTCCTCCAGGCATTGGCATCCAAACCTTCAAACAACGAAGCCCACATTTGTCTTCAAATGTACATGGAAGAAGGGAGCTGGAAGCAGATCTCTGTGAGTTCAAGACCAGCCTAGTCCACAGAGTGAGTTCCAGGACAGCCTCCAAAGCCACAGAGAAACCCTGTCTCAAAAACAAACAACAACAACAACCAAAAAAAAAAAAAAAAAAAAAAAAAAAAAAGAGGAGGAGGAGGAGGAGTTGGAAACTGAAAATTACTCGAGAGAAAACAGAAAGCAGGCCAAACCTCTGGGGCTCATGGCAAGGGAGGAAGGCAGTAATGAAGTAGAGGCCTGGGCCTCAGAACAGGCCCTGCAGGCATGAATGAAAATCCACTCAACAATTCAACACAGGCTTGAAACATCAGGTTTTAAGCTGAGACACTTGTTCCTCATATGTGACTAACACAAGTAAAAACTGCACTGGTTTAGACAAACTAACCCCTTCGGCCAGGTGAGGTGGAACACACCTATAACCCCAGCACTTGGGAGGTGAGGGCAGGAGGACCGCCATGACTTTAAGGTCAGCCTGGGTCACATGGTGAGACCTATCTCAAGAAGAAAAGGAAAAACTGTCCGGCATCTTTGTTGTTCATTTGAGATAGAGTCTCAGTGTCTAGACCTGGCCTGGCCTGGCACTCGGTAAGGACATCAGGCTGTACTCATATAGATCCGCCCGCCTCTGCCTCCTGAGTGCTGGGATTAAAGGTGTGCACCATCACGTCCTGCTCAGTGGTGTTTAAGAGCCTTAAATGAATTTGAGTGATGACCTCAGGAGCCCCTAGGTGGAGCTGTCCTCCCTTGGCGGAGGTGTAAGAATGGTGACTGGAAGCACCCACACCATCTGAAAGCCACTTTGCAATTCTATGAGAACAAAGACGTCAATCAAGCTCCCCCCCCCCCCAGGCGCTTGTGGTATGTGTCCATCCTGGGACAAGCCTGGCTCTGGAGCTGTAATGTCACTAACTACAAGGTTTCCATTGGCAACACCAAACATAGAGCCATTGACCTCAAGGTAAAACTGTTTGCCCTGCAGGTAGCAGATATGCATCTTTACATTGGAGGCATCACTACCATGACTATATGTGGGTGTGCATTTGGCAGTGCTCAGTAATGTTCATGGACTTCACGAAAGTAGGATGTGGTCAGTCTGCAGGAGCCACAGCCAGCCTCAGTGAGTAGTAAGGGTAGAGTGGGAATGGGGGAGGGGAGGGCAGCTCTGAGAATGAAGGGATGCTGATCATCAGGCTGAGCATGGACCCTGGGCCAGGAAGAACACGCACCGAGGTGCTCCTCTGGTTTTCTCTGCCTGTGTCTGGCCCAGCACTAACTTTCATCTCCAAATCTCTGGGGATTACATGGTTTTTAGTTTATGACAGCGCTGTCCCCCTAAGGGGGAAGGAAGAGATGTATCTGATCAGTTAAAGACCACAGAGGAACCCATGAAACCCTTTGCCAAGAAGCAGAAATAGTGGGGGTATAGTTCCCGGCCGGCACTCTAAAAGACTGCATGATGACTGCTCCCGGTGAACAGAAGGGGACAGAAACGTAGGTGAGCTCTGAATGAGCTGCGGTATGAAAAGGTCAAGACATTTGTTAAACATGGAGATGGCTATGAAACAGTTCAGGAGTGCCAAATAAACTAATTAGTTAAGTGAGAAATTAGCTGGATCATAAGCAACACTAAATGGACTCAGCAGGCATTTAAACATATTCTCTCTCTCTCTCTCTCTCTCTCTCTCTCTCTCTCTCTCTCTCTCTCTCTCTCTCTCTCTCTCTCTCTCACTCACACACACACAAAGAAAAAGTCATAATTTGAGAGGGAGTTGGGGGCACGGGAGGAGTTGCAGTGCGGATGAAAATGATATAAGCCAGGCGGTGGTGGGCCTTTAATCCCAGCACTTGGAAGGCAGAAATAGGTGGATCCATGTGAGTTCAAGGCCAGTCTGGTCTACAGAGAGAATTCTAGGACAGTCAGGGCTACACAGAGAAACCCTGTCTCAAAGAACAACAAAACAAGACAAAAAGATGTAAATACGGAACTCATGTAAAAAATTCTCAAAAAAATTTTTTTAATTTAAATTTAAGAAAAAGAAGGGGAAATGATATAAAATAATAGCTGGTCAGATTGGAGAAGGATGGTCAACATGATCTATGCTGTGCCCCAAGAGTATAGATGGGGCTATGTAAATGTCCAAAGGTATGGGCCTGCACATCACTGATCCCAAGAAATGCCATCTCTACAGGGTAATATTTCCAGCACACTGTTGAAAAGCTCCAGATACACTACTTTTCTCTCAGCAGTGTGGCAGAGGGTTTTACACTATTAACCCAGCAGTGTGGCAGAGGGTTTTACACTATTCTCTCAGCAGTGTGGCAGAGGGTTTTACACTATTAACCCAGCAGTGTGGCAGAGGGTTTTACACTATTATTTCAGCAACATGGCAGAGGATTTTACACTATTAACCCAGCAGTGTGGCAGAGGGTTTTATACTATTAATCCAGCAGTGTGGCAGAGGGTTTTACACTATTATTTCAGCAACATGGCAGAGGGTTTTACACTATTAACCCAGCAGCGTGGCAGAGGGTCCCAGGATTGAGCGTGATCCCCACCGTCCGCTCTGCTCACCTTTCTCGGAGGAACGTACAGCAAGCGTCTTTGATGCTCTGGAGCTGCAGGAAGCTTGCCCCCATCAGCAGGGACTGCACATTTTGTTGATCTATAGCAAGGTTGCCATTATAAGCAAAGTTGATGAGAGCCTCCAGGGCACTGGAAGGAAGAGGAAACGTATGAGAAGCATCACTTGGACAGGCCACTTGGTCCTAATTGAACTGATATGACTCCCTGTGGTGGTTAAAATGGCCCCATAGGTTCATATATCTGAATGCTTGGTCATCAGGGAGTGGCACTACTTGAGAGGCATTAGGAGTGGCCTTGTTGGAGGAGGTGTGTCACTGGTGGTGGACTCTGGTCCAAGCCCGGTCCAGTGTCTCTCTTCCTGCTGCCTGCAGACCCAGATGTACATCTCTCAGCTACTCTCCAGCACCGTGTCTGCCTGTGTGCGGCCATGCTTCCTGTCATGATGACATGGACTGAACCTCTGAAACTGAATTAAATGTTTTCCTTTATATGAGTTGCTGTGATCCTGGTGACTAAGACGCTACCTGAAGAATAAATGAGCCATGTTCAAAAATTCACTTAGAGGCTGGAGAGATGACTCTGGTTGAGAGTGTTTACTGTGCAATCATGAGGACCTGAGTTTGGACCCCAGTACCCATGTGGCAAGACAGTGTCCTACAGATGCCTGCAGTTCTGACTTGTAGGAATCTGATACACTCTTCTGGCATCCACAGGTACCTAGTAGAGGTACACTCACACATGTACATATACTTATACATACATACATATACACAAATAAGCAAATCTTTTTTTTTCTTTGGCTTTGGTTTTTGGAGACAGGGTTTCTCTGTAGCTTTGGAGGCTGTCTTGGCTCTCGCTCTGTAGACCAGGCTAGCCTGGAACTCACAGAGATCTGCCTGCCTTTGCCTCCCAAGTGCTGGGATTAAAGGTGTGCGCCACCAACACCTAGCTAAGCAAATCTTTTGAAAAATCCATTTAGCTGAGTTGAGTGTGGCAGCACATGCTGATCATTCTAGCACATGTGAGTTTGAGGCAGGAGGATACCAAGTTCAAAATCCAGCCTAGTCTATGATGAGACTACATTGCAAAACAAACTAACAAATCCATTTTGAGACTATATTTAAATGGAATAACTATTTCAAAGACTCATCCTAGCCAGGTGTGGTGGTACACATCTTTATCCCTGGCTCTTAGGAGTCAGAGGTAGGGTGGTCTGCTTTACAAAGTGAGACCCTGTCTCAGAATAAACAAACAAACAACAAAAAAAACAAGAACTAAATAATTGTCCATTTAGATAAAATTGTACAAATCATAAGATGATTTGTTAACCCTTTCTCATCTGCTTCAGTGGCTTCATGTTTACTGTTTTGGGTGGTTGCTGTATGAAACTCAACACTAAAACATGTTCTAATTTATTGCCTATATTAGCAGGCACCACAACTATTATCCTCTTACTGTCATTATAATTTTAAAAAGTATTGTTGTTTGGAGGTAATTTTAGAAAGAAATGTCTGCTATTTAATTATTTAAGTTGAAGGCTAAGCATGGTGTATGCTTGACTTCCTGTTCTCCTGAGAATGAAATTCAAATTCTGGCCATGGAGCGCTGGCCTTCTGCAGTGCCTTATCTCACTGTGTCCCAACTCTAAACACACCCTCACCTGTCGCCCTGGCAAGAAGGCAAACCTCCTTTCATTTTAGCCTTTCCTCAGCTCACTGACTGAGGAGCTCATCCATCTGCTAACTACCACAGTGTGCATGGAGCTGTCCTACTGCACACGGTGCACACTACAGGCCTTCGGGTGGTCCAAAGCTCGGCTGGAACTGCCCCCCCCCCGGGAAGCACAGTGGGAGGGGTTAGTACCTTGGGTCCATTCCTTGCATTACAATCTCATCCTGCTTGCACTCCATCATGTCGTTAGTAAACATAGCATGGAAGTACGGGATGGAGGCTGCTAAGACGATCCGGTGAGCACTGAATTTGTGGTCCCCGATCTGTGGGTCGAAGAAAATATAAAGACAAATATTGAGAACACACATACAAAAGTCCAATCTTCCCCTTCCACAGCTTACCGCTCTGCTTACTGCAGTGACAATGAAGACGTCCCAGGCATCACAGACAGGGCTTATCACAGAGACCTTCGAGTATTTAAAATAATATGCTGTTATGGTGGAAGAATGTAAGCATTCTTCATTTTAATGAGTTATCGTGGAATATTAGTTTAACTGTGTAAAGATGTGTTGCAGGGGCTGGAGAGATGGCTTAGTAGTTAGGAATGCTCACCTCTCTTATATAAGACCAGAGTCTGATTCTCAGCACCCATATCAGATAGCTCATAACTGTCTGTAACTCCAGTGTCCCCCTCTTCTGACCTCCATGGACACCCCCCCGCCCACGCATACACTGGAAATTTTTTAAAAGATTTATTTATTTATCACATATACAGTGTTCTGCCTACATGCCAGAAGAGGGCACCAGATTGAATTGTAGATGGGTGTGAGCCACTATGTGGTTGCTGGGAATTGAACTTGAACTCAGGACCTCTGGAACAGCAGTCAGTGCTCTTAACCTCTGAGCCATCTCTCCAGCCCTACACTGGAAAAAAATTTTAAGGGGGCTGGAGAGAAGCTCAGTGGTTGCTTTTTCAGAGGATTTGGGTTCAATTCTCAGCACCCACATGCCACAAGCATATATGTAGGCAAAACACCAATGCATACAAAATAAAAATAAATTAACTTTAAAAAAAGATGTTTTTGTTGTGGAACATGTAAAGATGTGTTGCATTTGTTTACCTTGCCTGCCTGAGTGATCAAATAAAACTTGAACAGGGCGGGCGGTGGTGGCGCACGCCTTTAATCCCAGCACTCGGGAGGCAGAGGCAGGCGGATCTCTGTTGAGTTTGAGGCTGGGCTGGACCGACAGCCTCCAAAAACAATACAGAGAAACCCTGTCTGGTAAAAACCAAAAAAAAAAACAAAAAACAAAAAACAAAAAAACGCTGAACAGCCAATAGCAAGGCAGGATGACTTCTAGGCAGGAAGATTAAGTAGGAGGAAGAATCTAGGCTCCACAGAGACAGAGACAGAGAGAGAGAGAGAGAGAGAGAGAGAGAGAGAGAGAGAGAGAGAGAGAGAGGGAGGGAGGGAGGGAGGGAGGGAGGGAGGGAGGGAGGTAGGGAGGGAGAGGGAGAGGGAGATGCCAGGGGTCAGCCAGCAAGCCTGCCAGCCATAGAGGAAGCAGGAAAGTAGGACATACAGAAAGAAAGGTCAAAAGCCCTGAAGGAGCCACGTAGTAGTGGCGCACGCCTTTAGTCCCAGCACTCGAGAGGCAGAGGCAGGCAGATCTCTGTGAGTTCGAGGCCAGTTTGGTCTACAGAGTGAGTTCCAGGGCAGCCTCCAAAGCTACAGAGAAACCTTGTCTGAAAAAACAAAAGCAAGCCCTGAGGGAAACAGGTTAAATTAAGTTAAACCTGTGGGACAAGCCTAAACTAAGATCAAGCATTCATAAATAAGAAGTCTCCATGTCTCTATTTGGGATCTGGTTGGCATCCCAAAGAAATGCCAGCTACATATGGTGTCCAATGTGGAGTCTGAATTTCCACATAAGGCCTGAGAAAGCTGTAAACAAGCAAGCAAACAACATAATGGAAACAACTCCTTTAAGAGGTGTGTCTGTGCAGCAGAGCTCTTGAGTAGCTGGCACACTAAGCCGAAACAACAAGCTAAGTAAAAATGCCTACCTCAGTGCAGGCACCAACTTCCTAGAGCTGGGGTCGTTAAACGCAACTCACAGTCAGGCTTAAGGCTTGGCTTTCACAGACCCAAAGAGGTGGTAGAGCCACCCGCCCGAGACACATGGCGGAGGGCTAGCTGTCACTTAGTTTAAGGTTTGACTCACAGGTCAGAGAATGCTACAGGTGCATAGTAAAACAGGTTCATACCAAAACCAGCTTTAAACAGGCTACAGTGTGCATAGGTGCTGAAGAAAGAAGAGAAAATGGGTATAGACAGTCATAGGAAAAATAGTTTTAAAATAATTAGGTCTTTAAAGGAAGGGTAAAGTAATATGAAAAGAATAAGCCACGAAAAGATGGGAAACACACAGGGCATCTGGATCCTGTAAGGTGCTTTGTAGACTTTGAATTTTTTGATTGCTGGTGAGTAATGGCAGCTGCTGGGAGACATGGGATTGATTGTAAAAGGAACTGCTGAATTAAACATGCCTAGATACGTAAGGGATGTCTTAACTTTAAAAATGGAATTCAGAAAATGTATTATGTTGGGGGAGAGGTTATGCTTTTGTTTCCATAGGAAATGGAAGGCTGTGGATTCCTTCAAAATTAATAAGAGGTCAGATTTGATTGGGGGAGACCCCCCGAAAATCTTGGCTACAGACATAAAGAAATAAACCTAGAAAAAAAGCCTACAAGACAGGTGATATATATACTGATCCCTGGACATGGGAAACAGCTCTGAGACTGGATGAGACATTATAAATCTTGTCCTCATGACTTATTATTACATGCCATCCTTTCATAAGACATGGATACAGATTTATATTACAGTTTGATTATACAGTCTAAATAGACTTAGAAAGTCAACAGATGACTTTTACCTGCTCAAACATAAAACAAAAAATCATCCTTAACTGATTCATGCACACCACACAGTCCATACTTATGTTAATGCAGATATGTATGCTAACCTTTGAAAGTTTGTGTTTTCAGAGCAAGGGGCCAGGCACCAAGAAAGTAGATAGCCCAGGTGATCCAGTCTCTCAGAATGTATTTGCTGAAGTTTCCTCAGAGTTCTACATCCAGAACAGCTTCAAGGCTGTTGGCTGAGATGGGCCTGGTTATTCTAGCCAGGACTTGACCATTATTCTAATTTTCTCAGGGTTCCCCAAAGATGCTGACGGGAAGCAGTCTAGAGAACACAACACCTACAATCCTGAGAGATGTGGTGGATGGTTTTTGGTCATTCAATGCGTTATAGATGTTTATCACTGTTTATGGGGGTTGGTTACAATTGTTCTTAGCCACGATCAGGGAGGATACTAAGGAAAGGAGATTAGATTCAAAGATTTCTTTCTGAAGACAAAAAAGGAGGATATAATATAAAAATGAGATAAAAAGGTGAATTGTTGAGTCTACTTTTTTTTTTCTTTTTGGTTTTTTGAGACAGGGTTTCTCTGAATTGTCTTGGAGCCTGTTCTGGAACACGCTCTGGAGACCAGGCTGGCTTCAAACTCAGAGATCTGCCTGCCTCTGCCTCCCAAGTGCTGGGATTAAAGGTGTACGCCACCAACGCCCGGCTTGTTGAGTCTACTTTTAAACAACCACTCGTCTCAATTATTTCCCACTGGTATGGAATTTTGTATACAGATACAAATTTAAGGTTATTTTTTGTTAGAACATACTGCAATATGCTTCTACTCTTATTTAAGGTATTGTACCTATGCAGCTCATTCAACAATGTAATGTAAACTTCTAGTCCTTGAAAAGTTATTATTGTAAGGATTCAGGCATTATGCTGGCCTGCCCCTGTCACCTGGCAGAATGCACTCAGGCAGTACCCTGGTCAGCATGCAGGTGCAAAGGACCCCTTTAAAAGAAAGACTCCTGAGTTCGAGGCCAGGCTGGACCGACAGCCTCCAAAACAATACAGAGAAACCCTGTCTCTTTACCTCTTTTCTCTTTCGTCCTCCCTCTTCCCTTTCTAATAAAACCTCTCACTTAAGCTCCATCTGCCTGGTGTGTTTGTCCCCCAACCCGGTCACCCTCACTGCCATGGAATCCGTCAAGGTTCCCTTTGTGCTTTGTCATAACAATTACTACAAACTATTTAGGATAATAAAGAAATGCATGTTAGCAGTTAGTCATCTATAACAATAAAACCTGTAGTCATATTAGGTATGTTTTCAAGGTCACACAGAGATATATTTTAGATAGATACATGATCTTCAAACACTTCAAAGACCTACAGAACATTACATTTAAAATGTTTACTAACATAAGACCTTTCTTGATAATGAGACATGTCTACTCCTGGCAGCATCAATCTACTTCAAAAAAGGATGAGGGGCATCAATGAACCTCCATATGGAGTTTACTTTCTTTGTGGCAAAAGCTAGCCATTTGGGTAAGAAACTGCCCTTGCCTTGACTGCTAAAGTGATACTATCCAAATTATACAAGCAGGACACAAAGAAAAATGACTGCTGAACTTTGCCAAGACAGGGTAGGACAGTCCTTCAAAACTTCCTGCTTCACAAAAAAGTCTGTCAAATATTCTAGGCCTATAGGTCAAAGATGAATGCCTCAACATTGCAGAGAAACCTTGGGTGACTGTTCAGGCAGCCAGATGTCTCTGTCATTTCTTAGTTCTGGAAGCCGCTTACTCTGCACTTCCAATTTACTCAGGTGATATTTTATCCTTATTGGATCTTTGATGGAGCTAAAGACTAGGTAGTTATAGTTGCAGTTTTTCTTAGAAGATAAATTAGGTACAGAGCTTTGGACTCATCATTAATGGAGTATTTTCTCCAAATATGTCAAATACAAATGGACTAGACATTGTAAATGTAATTCTTACCTGATATTGTTTAGTTTTATTGTATTAGAGTTAAAATGTTTCCCTTTTATTTAGACAAAAGGGGGGAAATATTGTGGAATATTCCTTTACACTGTGTGAAAATATTTCACTGTGACTGGTTTAATACAAAGCTAAATAAATGGTTAATAGCTAGGAAGGATTTTTACAGCAGAGAACTCCAGATGCCAGAACTCAGAGGAAGCAGCATAGGTAGTAAAGGTAACATAGTCCTGAGTCAGGAAGTAAACTATTAGAAATGGGTTAATTCAAGCTAAAAGAGCTAGTTACAAACAAGCCCAAGTTATCACCCAAGCTTTCATAATTAATAGGAAGTCTCCATATGGTTATTTGGGAGCTGGCTGGCAGGAGAGAAAAATCCATCTACATTAGGCTCATAGCTCA